TCCAGGGGAAAGATCCAGCTGGACAGGGAAGTTCACCCTGGTGGGCATTCCCTGGCTCCAGGACCACTGGGCACAGATGTTGAAGTGAATGTGGAACCACCAAGCATTAAGCTCCTGCTGAGACTCATTGTTTGGGAAGGTGTTTTAAAGGGTTGTCTCAGTGGTAGCTTTGAAGAAGACTGAATTGTCCCCTCAAAGGAGTGTGATGAGACTGTTCTGAGCCCAAAGGTTTTGCTGAAGGGGTAAAAAAGGTGCCAGGAAGGAAAGAAAATGCTCAGGACACTGGAGAGGGTGTGTTGCCTGGAAAGCTGAGATGACATCTGTGAGCTCAGCTGTGGTCACCTGGCTCCTGCAGCCAAGATCCTTGGAGTTCCCACCTTCCTTGGGTCTTGAGGATCATTTCCCTCCATCTAGTGATAGTTTGACCTTTTTTTCCATCAGTTCCTGGAAGCTTGGTGCTTGGCCATGGGGCACATCAAACCACTCATCATTTGGGGCAGTGGTTCTTTTAATTGTAGACATTCCCATGACTCACCAGTGCCTTCTTGGGGAGGTTGGAGTGGAGCAAAGTGGACACTGGAGAGCAGAATAAATAGGATGCAGCAGAAATGGGGACAGAGTTTCAGCAGGGCCTGTAGGGACAGGGCAAGGGGAGATGGTTTGAAGCTGGAAGAAGGGAAGGTCAGACTAGATGTAAGGAAGAAATGTTCTGCACTGAGGGTGGCTGCCCAGAGATGCCCCATCCCTGGAAACATTCAAGGTCAGGTTGGATGGAGCTCTGAGCAACCTGGTGGGGTTGAAATGTCCCTGCTCACTGCAGGGGGTTGGAGTAGATGAGCTTTTAAGGCCCCTTCCCACCCAAACCATGCCCCAATTCTTTAAAAAGGGAGCTGGTGAGGAGCCCAGTGACTGGAACTTCATGGTGGCAATCCCTGCTGGTCCCCATGGTCCCATTTTTCTCCAGGCTATCAAAACCCTTCCTATCCATGCTCAGGGGGCCCAGCAGATGCTCTGTGGCCCTTGGCTGCCCTGCCAGCACCCACTGGGGACCTGTGGCTCCTGCCCCCCCGGTGGTGAGGGAGCGGCAGCCAAGATCCTTGGAGTTCCCACCTTCCTTGGGTCTTGAGGATCATTTCCCTCCATCTAGTGATAGTTTTATCTTTTTTTCCATCAGTTCCTGGAAGCTTGGTGCTTGGCCATGGGGCACATCAAACCACTCATCATTTGGGGCAGTGGTTCTTTTAATTGTAGACATTCCCATGACTCACCAGTGCCTTCTTGGGGAGGTTGGAGTGGAGCAAAGTGGACACTGGAGAGCAGAATAAATAGGATGCAGCAGAAATGGGGACAGAGTTTCAGCAGGGCCTGTAGGGACAGGGCAAGGGGAGATGGTTTGAAGCTGGAAGAAGGGAAGGTCAGACTAGATGTAAGGAAGAAATGTTCTGCACTGAGGGTGGCTGCCCAGAGATGCCCCATCCCTGGAAACATTCAAGGTCAGGTTGGATGGAGCTCTGAGCAACCTGGTGGGGTTGAAATGTCCCTGCTCACTGCAGGGGGTTGGAGTAGATGAGCTTTTAAGGCCCCTTCCCACCCAAACCATGCCCCAATTCTTTAAAAAGGGAGCTGGTGAGGAGCCCAGTGACTGGAACTTCATGGTGGCAATCCCTGCTGGTCCCCATGGTCCCATTTTTCTCCAGGCTATCAAAACCCTTCCTATCCATGCTCAGGGGGCCCAGCAGATGCTCTGTGGCCCTTGGCTGCCCTGCCAGCACCCACTGGTGACCTGTGGCTCTTGCCCCCCAGGTGGTGAGGGAGCGACTGCTGTGCCACTCCATAGTGGGCAACAAGGGAGGGAAGGTGAAGATCATGCAGGTGGATGTCAGCTGTGAGTTTGTGGCTCCTGTTCTGCAGATCTCCTCCACAGACATCACCTTCCGGGTGGAGAAAGTGAGTCTTTGGATTGTTCCTGGCCTTTCCCAGCTTGGCTGGGGGCTCAGCACCTGGTGGGAGGGTGTGTTTGTGTTCACAGAAGTTAAACAGCTGCTCCAAGTCCATGGGGTGGTGATTTAAGCAGGGCCAAGCTTGAGCATTAACACTGAGATCATCATTTCTGGGCTTGGGGACACTCTGAGGTGTTTAGGTGGCCCCGTGTGGGTGTCCAAAGCTGACCTTGGGCTCCTGCAGGCCCTCTGCTCCAGGCCAAATCCTGCTTGCTTTTCTCCTCTGGACACCCTCACTGCTTTCCTGGGGCTACTGGAGCTGAGATGGTTAGAAGAAGTCACTGGATGTCCTTGCAAAATGTCCTGGCCAAGAGAGGCTGCAAAACTGGAGGCAAAGGGTCTGGCTTCACCTTCTGGTTTTCATCTCCAGCTGCCTCCTCTGAGGGTGCTGTGCCCTCAGCTGTACACCAGGCTGTTTGCCTGTGGTTTCTAAAGGTGAAGAACATCTGGTTGACTTAGAGAAAACCCTCCCAGAAGGGTGGAAACCACTGAAAAGAAAACTAAGCTTGGAAAACTTGAAATACATTGGAAGGGGATGGAGGTCCATGGCCACTTCAGGTGTTTTTTTGCCTTGTCTCCTGTTCATGTAGCACCCAAGTGATGTCCTAACTCTTCAGTACAAGCCTCTTTCTTTAAAGAACATCTCCTCCCTGCCACTCAGTGTTGTCCTGGTCTTGGAGCAACCCTTCTTCATCTGCAGTGCAGACCAGCAGCCCTTCCCTGCAGATGTTCAGGTGAGCAGCTTTGGACCTCCCTGCTGGGGTGGGGTTGAAGAGGGAGGAGTGTGGTGGTCGTTCTGCCTGGAGGTCCTCCTAGTGGAGAAGTTTATTCTTCAGGGTCAGCAGGAGATCCTCCTGAACTCAGGTTTGAAACAAGGGGCTGAAGGAAATCAAATGTCATCTGAGCTGAGGAGGTAGGACCTGGCTCTAGGACAGGAGGAGAGAGGAGCAGGTAACTCTGGGCAAGCCAAAGGTGTCTCTTGGAAGCCCTCCAAGCTCTCCAGGTAACCTCAAGAGCTGCTCACTCCCCACCAGGGCAGCCCTGCCTTCAGGAGGGCTGAGGATGCTCTTCCAGCTCTGCCTGGCACCTGCCCCATTGGTGGTGGGAAATGCTGGACCTGGACTCTGCTGAACACCTGGTGGCCACCACTTCTGTGCCATGGCAGTGGAAGAGCCCCTGCACGTGTCCTCACGTGTGCTGTGAGGACAAAGGGGTTCCTCTAGGGTCAGGACACAGGGTCCTGGTTGGCTTTGTGGGTCCAGAGTTCAGGAGGACAATATCTGCCTCCTCCTTGCAGTGATGGAGAGTGCAGTGCCAGGAGGTTCTCAGGCAGGGGTGCCTGGTGCTCCCAGTCAGGTGCACACAGAAGGACATGATGAGCTACCCTGGGGTCACAACTTGGAACATTCTCACCTTTCATTCTGTAAGACCTTGGGGCTTCAGCACCTGCTGATGGATGCTCTTCATCTCCTTGCAGCCCATGAAGCTGGAGGTAGGGGAGGAACTTCACCTCTCCATCAGTTTTAACCCTGCTTATGAAGAGGACTTGAATATCCGGGTGGTGGAGAAGGCTCTGAAGATCCAGTTTCTTGAGCACCCTCATCAGGAGCAGGTCACCCTGAGGGGAGAAGTCTATTTCCCAAACCTCCAGATCCCAACCACCACCCTGGACTTTGGCTGCATCTTGAACGACACGGAGGAGGAACGTTGTGTGGAGATGACCAACTGCAGCCCCCTGCCTGTCCTGTACCACTGGTCCTTCCTGACAGACAGCCACAGCAGCTCCATGAGGTAGCCACCCCTTTACCCTCTCCTTCAACCTCTTCTCCTTCCTGGTGTCCCCTCTGGACTTGGCAAAGAGGCTGTTTGCTTGGGATCTGACCCAAGCTTCCCCTCGTGGGAACACCCACCAGCTGTGCTCAGGCTTAGATCCTCAGGGAATAGGTGACCTCCACCACCAGGATGCTAGGAAGGAGACAATGTTCTCCCCCCCAGGCTGGAGCTGTAGATGCTACCAACATTTTTTTTTGCATCATCTAGAGTCCTGCTTCATTCCTGCAAGGCCATGCATAGCACTGGGTCAAGCAGATAAGGTGACCTCTTGTCCTTCCCTGCCAACCCTGGTTGTCCTCATTTCATCCTGAGAACATGCACAGACCCTGCCACTGGAGCCACATCCTGCTGTCCCAGGCTCTTCCTGCTTTGAAACCCTTACTGGGCTTTACTGGGCAGGAGGGTGGGTGTGGGAAGCTGCTTGCTCAGCCCTTGGTGGCCTGGACAAACCCCACCTTGGTGAAGTGAGTTTCCATCTGTCAAACTGCACATCATGGTCCAAAACCAGCTCTTCAGTGGGTTGCAGTGAAACAGCAGGTTCTGCTGCAGCTCCAGGTTCTTGGTGGGAACCACAAGCATCCTTGGGGAGCAGGACCATCCAGTGCTGGCCTGTGCTTGCCAAGCACAAGAGCAATCTTGGGGTTGTGCTGGAGAACATCTAGACTCATAGAATGGCTGGGGTTGGAAGGGACCTTCAAGATCATCTAGATCCAAGACATGAACATGTTGATATGAAGATCTGTGAGCACTTTTCTAGTTGTTCTTCCCTCTTTGGCCTCTCTGGGGGGTCCAAAAGTCTCATCTGGGCAATTTTTAATGACAGTAGCAAATGGTTTTTCCATCATGCCCCAGGAAACCAGGCAGAGTTGAATCATTGGGCATCCAAGTGCTGCTGTGACAAATCATGGAGCTCATCAATAGATGGTTGTGTGCAGGGAACTGGGATCTGGCTCAGAGAAGATGACCTATTGGGAGCTGGAAATGAGCTGTGAGGAGGCCTTGGGGGAGCAGACCTGGGCACTGGGGTGACCAGTTCCCCCCCCTGGGACTTGCCCAGTAGCACCAAGCCTTGAGTTGGGGCCCTTGATGCAGGAGGGCAGAGCCAGGAATGCAGAGGCAAGGAGGGAGGTGGGCAGGGAGTGGGGAGCAGAGCTGGATGCTTTGTTTGGAGTCCCCTGTCATCTCCTGGCAAATTAAATGAGAGTTTAATTACAAGCTAAAGGGAAAACCTAATTTTGATGAGAGAACAATGCATATATTGGATCATAACAGAGAAACAAGCACATCACAGCCAAGCCTGGGTGGGCTTCATTTCCTCTGGGGCCACTTGTTGGCCACTTGGCTTTTCATCTTCACTGTTGGGCTGGTTTTTGGGGGTGTTTTATTTTAAGACTGAATGGAGGGGTTGGGAAATGTGGCTGCTGAATCAGGTTCCCCCCCTTTTTAATGACCCTGTCTCCACCTCCGTGGGTCTGGCTGGACCCGACCCTGTGGGTTCTCCTGCTTCCAAAGCTCTGCTGAGCTTTGGAGGGTCCTGAGCACCTGGCAGGAGGGATCAGCCTCTTCTCCAAAGGGTTTGGCATCACCCTTTGCTGGCTCCTGAGCACTGTGGCCACCACGACAGCTCCTGCTCTGCTCTGCATGGTAATGAAGCAGTAAATTCTCTCTGCGGGTCCATCAGCAGCCGCTCGGGTGATGCTCAGTGGCAGAGCTGGCAATGGAGATGGTCTCCAAGCTATTAACACCTCAAATGACTCATGAAAAGCCCTGCCAGAAGGGCAGCATGTCAGCTAGTCCTTCTGGTGCCCACCAAGCACTGTTGATGTTCCAAATGATCAACTCAGGCTGACGTGGAGGGAATCGAGCGTCAGGGCTCAGGAAGGTTGAGATCAGTGGGATTTCTCCACCCAGTCCTGCTGGAACCTGTCACCAGGGACTCTCAGCATCCATCAGACACACACGTTTCTTTGGGGCAGGAAAGAAGAAGGTTTCTTTGCCTGGACAAGACTCTTTGTGCTTAGAACTTTGGGGTTTTTTCCCTGGTGTTTGATCCTCCCGACCCTGGAGTCGCTGCTGCGACTTTGAGCAGAGAGGTTGGATCTGAAACATGGTCCAGCTGTGGCTTTGGGGCTGGGCATGCCCAACTGAAAGCCAACCCATGGCCCTTCCCTGGCACTGCTGGGCCATCAGTCTCTTGTGGTTACTCTTCTTCTAGTCCTATGTGGTTAGAAACAAGCTGAGAAGAGTCTCTCCTCACCTCTCGGACCTTGGGGAGCTGGAAGGTGGGTTGAACCTTTGCACCCAGATGTTTGGTGGGCTCTGGAAGGGCTCTCCAGGGTCTGCCAGCAGGAGAGAGCAGATATGGAGCCACATTCCAACATCTCATTTCTTCCCTTCAGGATTTCTTCCACATGGGTTGGTTTGTCCTCCTTCCTAAGGGCAGCATCCAGCTCCTCAGCTTTGGTTGGGGTTGCCATCCCATGGAAGACATTGAGGTCAAAGGATGTGGAAGGGTTTTCTTGCAGACCCAAACCCAGCTGTTCTCTGGAGTTTTCACCCTTCATTAAGGATCTTTGCCTTGTCATGGAAGGGACTTTGGACAAGAGCTTGTAGGGAGAGGACAAGGGGGAAGGGATTAAAACTGGAGGAGGGAGATTGAGGTGAGACATGAGGAGGAAATTGTTTGGTGTGAGGGTGGTGAGAGCCTGGCCCAGGTTGCCCAGGGAAGCTGTGGCTGCCCCATCCCTGGCAGTGTTGAAGGGCAGGTTGGATGGGGCTTGGAGCAGCCTGGGCAGGTGGGAGGTGTCCCTGCCCATGCAGGGGGTTGGATCTAGATGATCTTGAAGGTCCCTTCCAACCCAAACCAGTCTGGGATTCCTGAGCACCCAGGGCACAGAGTGGGATCCCAGTTCCATTCCAAACACCCTCCTCCTCCCTACAGGTGCTGCACTGCCTGGGTGGCTCCTGCCACCTCTGGGCTGCTCCTCCAGGCCCATCTCTGCCAAGTGTCACTGCTTCTGAAACAAAACATGGATAGTTCCCTTTTCCTTCTCTTGAGGCTGGTGGGAGAAGCTCTCTGGGGCAGTTGGGCTGAGCAAGAGCATTGACTGGGGAGCTGCTGCTGTCACTTCCACTTTGTGTCTCCAGCAGAACTCTGAGGGCAGGAGCTGTCAGGTGGGATCTGGGTGGCAGGATGAGCTGTTTACTCCTGTCTATTTGCTGACCTGATGTCACTGCTGGTGGCAACAAGGAGTGAGGGGACATCATCCTTCCAGACCTTGTTGATCTGAAGCTCTCCAGCTGTTTCTCACCCTTTTCCTGCATCAAACAACTTTCCTTCAGGGAAAAATCCATCAGAAGCTGCTGGAATCTCTCTGGCCTTTCCAGTATCACTCTGCTCTTTGCTCCTAGGAGGAGGAGTTCAAGCCAAGCTGGAATTCATCCAGTTTGCAAGTGGTTTTGGGTGTAAATCTGCACTGGGGGATTTTTGGTGCTGGTTCCTTCCAGTCCAAGGTGGAGAAGTGATGGAGAGCCCAGTGTTCCTGCTGCTCCCACCTTCAGTCCTGAACTGGCTGAAGCCAAGACAAGGATTTGAAGCAAAAACCCTTCCAGACCATGGGGGGTTTTGTCCTGTGTGAATCTGGGCTCACAAGACAGTGAAACTGGTGCTTGTCCTTCTGCACAAGCCCCTTGAGGGGCTGATGTTGGGCTGATGGGTGAGTTTGGGGTGGGTTTCAGTTCCAGATCTTCCAGATCTGCTTTCAGGTAGACAAGCAGAGAACCAGGCAGGGAGATGTTTCCCAAAAAGATCAGCATGGGATCCCACTAAAAGGGTGGGATCTGCCCAGTGGGTTTGGCCCCCAATGGGTTCTTTGGCCACAGCCACCAGCTCCATGTGTTCCAGGTGAGGAGGTTCTCCATGCTGGGATGGGCTGCAGCTCCAGGTGGTGGGAAGGAAGGGGAGGTTTCTGTGTTCACTGTTGTCAAAACTGAACCCTAGGCAGGGATGGGCCTGACCACCTGGTGACAAGGCCTTGCTAAGTCCCAGGGAGGTGCAGGTCCTTGGTTTTACCAGCTCCCAGTGGGACCTTCACACAAAACCAGTTTGCACAGCTCTGCGACCAGACCCATCCCAGTGGAGCAGCTGGAAAAGCACTTGGGAGCACTGGGAGCTCCTTGCCCAGTGACCCCACAGCCCCAGGATGGGGTCTGCAGAGCATCTGCTTCCTCAGCTGGAGCCTGCCAAGCCTGTGCCTCCTCCCAAAGGCAGGAGCAGGGGCCCCAGCTGAGCCCTGCAGTCCCACCAGCACCCAAGGGACCTTGGGTTGGGCTTGGCCAGGGTTGGGCAACCTGAGGTGCCCTGATCTTTCTGCTCAGCCTCACCTGGGGGTTGGAGCAAGGACACCAGCTCCGAGTGGTGTCTGTCAGAGCTGGGCAGCAGGGATGGCCCTGCTGGTCTGCACTGGGTGCCCTCAGCTCCAGGAACAGGTCCCATCAGCTGTGGGGAGCCAAGCACCCCCAGAAGCTCAGGGGGGCTGAGGACGTTCAGCTGCTCACGGGGCACGTGTCAGTCCCTCAGGATCAGAGCCTTCTTGAAGCCCCCAGCTCTGCAGGCACCAGGAGCTCCCAGGAGCAGGGGGACAGCACTGGGAGGTGCACTTGGGGCACCTGGAATATGGGGGGAGGGTCCCCACTCACTTGAGAAGCCTCCGCCGAGCAGGCAGGTCAAAGGCTGTGTCCTCCAGGGGACCTGAGGCCAGGACCTTCTGCTGCTCCAGGGCATGTTCCTCCATCAGCATCTGCTCCATCTCCATCTGCAGCAGAGTGTCCAACTGAGGAGAGACAGTGTCTGGCTAGGAAAGGTCCTTCCTGAGGGACAGGCTTGTCTCTGGAAGAGGATCCCACCCTGCTCTGCTGGGGACAGGTCATGGGCTCCTCCTGCCTCACTGCTCAGTGTCTGTGACACCTTCTGCTCTCCTAGACCTCATCTGAAAGGAAATTAACTCCAGCATCCTCACCAGGGTGACCCTGGGCAGTCCCATCCTGGCTCTGCCCCACTTCATGGTGCCTACCTCCTGCCAGGGGACCCCTCCAGGCTCCCCTCTCTTCTCCTGCAGGTCTATGTCCAAACTTCCTTGCTCTTGCAGGTTCAGTCCTCCAGCACCTAAGTTTTTCCTGGAATTCCAAGCCCTGAAGGAGGAGGGAACTTGGTCAGAGCTCCCAGGACCTGCAGGGAGCAGGGATGGGGGTGCAGAGGAGTCAGCTGAAGCCTTGGGAGAAGTGGAGGATCCTGGTCAAGAGCCAGCAGATGCAGATGCCTCTCTGGAAGCTAAGGTAGATGATCTTGTGTCCACCTCCCTGTGCCCTGCACACTGGGAACAGGAGCAGGGGCAGAGCCAGCAGGAGGGCACAGGGCTCCTGGGGAGGGAGAAACAGGATGGAAGCTCATTCAGATCCCACTGGTCTGGGGTGGATTGGGGATTTTTGTTTGTTTGGTTGGGGTTTTTATAACATTAAATTAGGGCCACGGAGATGATCCCAGGGCTGGAGCAGCTCTGCTCTGGGGACAGGCTGGGAGAGTTGGGGTGTTCAGCCTGGAGAGGAGAAGGCTCCAGGGAGACCTTAGAGCAGCTTCCAGTGCCTGAAGGGGCTCCAGGAGAGCTGGGGAAGTGCAGATGGAGCCTGTGTCTCATCTGTGGGTGGGTTTGGACCCCTGTTCCACTGGTGGCATGGAGGTTTTGCATCCAGGTCCCATCTCAGCTGCCCTTGTCTTCATGAGGTGGTGGAGCCTGCAGCAAGGAGGTCTCACCCAGACCAACCAGTTGCTCACTGCAGCCCCTGGGGCTTGTTTTCCAGCCACTGTCACCCACTGCTGCAGAGGTGGAAGGGGCTGCAGGGACAGAAGGTGCTGCAGAGGTGGAACGTGCTGCAGAAACAGAAGGTCCTGCAGAAGCAGAAGGAGCTGCAGAAACAGAAGGTCCTCCAGAGGTGGAATGTGCTGCAGAAACAGTAGGTCCTGCAGAGGTGGAAGGTCCTGCAGAGACAGAAGGGGCTGCAGAGACAGAAGGGGCTGCAGAGGTGGAAGGTCCTTCAAAGGTGGAAGGTCCTGCAGAGGTGGAAGGTGAAGTGAGGATCAAGCAATTGATGCAGTTCATGGAGACAGAGCCCCTGGCTTTGGGAGTGGAGGAGGTAAGTTGGAACCTCTCTCACTCCTATGGTTCCATAGCCCCCAGTCCCCCTTGGTGGCCCTTGGCACTGCCCAGAGTGGCCTCATAACCCCCTGAGGACACCACTTGGTGCTGCTGGAGCAACTGGTCATTGGAAAGGCTGGGCAGGACGTGGTTGACCAAGGGGGTTACCTGTCCAGCACCAATGGAGGGCATTCTTCAGCAATCCAGTGGTTGGCAGGGAAGTTCTGCAGGAGGTTCTGGTGGAGCACCTTGGGAGGGAGCAGCAGAGGAAGCAGAGCCAGGCTGGAGTCCTTCCCCACCTCAAATCTCTTGTTTCTCCAAAAAAGGGCTTCTTAAAGTCAAGTTCTGCAGCAGAGAGAACTTCCTGCTGCCAGGAGACCTCCCAAATGACTTCCATGTAGCCTGTTAATTAATCCATTCATTAGTGAGTGTGGGAGAAGATGTTCCCCATGGTTCCTCCACCAGGAAGAGTAACAGATGCAGGAGGAGATCCAGATGATTGTGCCTGGGCTTTGAGGAAGGGGCCCCTCCAGCCATGGTGGTTCTTCTGCATCCCACCTGGGTGCTCAACATCTCCCCTCCCTGCAGGTGTTTGACATCCTGCCCCTCTATGGGGAGCTGCAGCCAGGCCAGAGCCAGCAGGTCACCTTCACCTTCTTTGGCCACACCAACATCGTGGCCCGTGTCCTGGCCCTCTGCAGGGTGGAGGGAGGTCCCACCTACCAGGTGCTGCTGACTGGAGAAGCTTCACTCATCAACTACCTCCTGGACATCAGGGAGATCGACTGTGGGGTGCAGGTACTTCTCTTGGCTGAGGTCCTCAAAACCCAGCACTGGTGGGTTGCTGCCCACCAGGGTCTTGGGCTCCCTCCTCTCCACGAGCTGCTTTGGCAGCTTCATGGCTTGGAAGCACCACCCTGGAGTGATGGGTCCTGCATCCAAGCTGGTTTTTCATGGCCATCTCTGCCCTACCCAAAGCTGGGGGTTCCTTCTCTTCAAGTCTCCTGGGGATCCCAGCAGTGGTGGGAGGGACCTGGCCCAAGCCTTCCACCCCCTGAGCCACCCCTAGAGCCTGAGGTCCAAGGAGATGCTCTTTGAATGCTCTTCATTCACCAACAAACCACACCAGGGAGGACATGACCTTGGGTTTCCAGTCCCTGCAGCTGGAGAGAATGTCCCAGAATGGTCCCTGCTTTGCTCCTGCTCCCTCCAAACCCCCCCAGATGCTTCCAGCTGTTGGCCCTGGGTGTGTTGCATTGTCCATCTCCCCCTCCTGCTGCCCCTTAGATGCAGGTACCTTTTCTTCTGCAAGGTCTTGATGCCTCCTCCCTGTTCCAGGCAGTTGGGAGGTGACACCAGAAAGCACAGGGGCCTCGTGTCCTCTTTGGGGTGTGTCTTGCTGATCTTCCCAGGGTTGTCACTGCCCCTCTGCCAGAAAGATCTGCTCCCATGGAGGACTAAGAGGTCTCTTGTGGTTGGATGAACTCCAAGTCAAGTGCTTGTGTCCTCAGCAGCCCCACCTCCTGCATCCTGTTCATTCCCAGTGGAAGCAGGAGGAGATGGCCAACATCAAGACCTGTCTCCATAACTTCCTGCTCCTCTCTTCCTCCTTCCAGCTGTTTCATGAAGTCCTGGAAGCAGAGCTCACCCTGAGGAACAGTGGGAAGGTGGGATTCACCTACGTGGTGCTGAGCCCCCCTGGCCCAGCCCCTGCAGACACAGCCCTGCCTGGTGTCCCCCTGGTCCTGCCCAGCTCCGTGAGTACCAGGCTGGGACAAAGTGAGCAGCTCTGGCCCTTCAGCAGGTGGCCCAGGAGAGGCTTTCTGGGGGGGAGGAAAGGGAGAAAAACCAGGATAAAACCCCCACAAGCAACCAGGAGGGACAGGTTGTGAGCAGCTGCTGTGGGGACAAGGAAGGGTGGTCCTACTGGCCCTTCTCAGTGGCCTCTGCCAGCTCTAACCTGAGACTTCAATCCTCTCTTGCTTGGGTTTGAAGCTCCTTGGCCAGAACCTCAATACCCTGGAGAAGTTTCTTCCCCCAGAGGGTTGTCAGGCCCTGGGCTGGAGTCCCCTGGAGGGGTTTCAGAGCCCTGGAGATGTGGAGCTGAGGAACATGGGGCAGTGGTGGCCTTGGTGCTGGGTTAATGGACTTGGTGATCTCAAAGGGCTTTTCCAACCCAAATAATACTGGGATGCTCAACTGTACCAGCCCCTGTGGGGCAGGGAGGAGCAGGGCTGGAACAGCAAGGAGAGGACCTTCCATCCCACCTCCCAGCTGCTCAGCTCTGCATGGATGGCTTGGAGCTGGAGCAGCATTCTTGTCCATGTCCTTCTGCAATGGGAAGAGGAAGCCCAGTGGCTCTGGGGTGTCCTGGTGCTGGTCTCCTGGGAGGGCTGATACTGGTGCCCTCTTCCTGCCACCTCCTGCAGCTTCTTCTTGGGGCCTGGAGGGGAGCAGGGAGCCCTGTGTCCTGCAGAGGGCATGGTCAGGCTTTGTCCTGTCACCCTGGGTTTGCCCTCAGCCTGGCTGGTGTCCAGTCCCATGGCTTGGACTTCTGGAAGCCCAGAGAGGAGGTGTCCTTTCCAGCAACACCTTCATCTCTGGTTCTTGTCCTACTCTAGAATTTCCAGAGGTGAATGTTTGCAGGTCACCATGAGTCTGGGTAGGTTCCTGCACCCTCCTGGTAACCATACAGGAGGAGATGTTTGCTTGGGGTCATTATAAGGGCTCAGGAACCAGCCTGGGAACCACTGGGGTGCTGGTCCTGCTGAGAGCTCAGGTGCTTCCTTCACCTGCCCCAGTTGTTGGGAAAAGAGCTTTTCTTTAGCTTGGTCTGTCATCTGGGCCATCCCCCCACCAACCCCTCTGTGGTTGCATCTTCTCCCTCTTCTGTGCTCTGCAGGGTTACCTTGGACCTGGCAAGGAGCAAGTGCTGAGGGTCTATTACTTGCCAGGAGTGCCTGGAGTCTTCTGCAGGACTTTCCAGATCCAAGTGGGTCACCTGGAACCAGAAGAAATCTCCCTGAAAGGAGAGGGGAGCTTTCCCAGGATCTGCTTGGATCTACCTAGGAACATCCAAGGTGAGCACTGTCTGATTCTCAGGGTGGTGGGGCTGGTTTTACCCCCAGGTTGCATGTCCATAGGGCACCTCCTTCCACCCTGCAAAGTTTCAGGGCTCTCAGACCACCCCTCAACCCTCTGGTTCCTCCTTGAGTCTCCAGCAGGCAAGTCCACATGGGCTTGGCCTGAGGAACCACCCTACAGAGCTGGTCAGCACGTCTGTTGGAGACCTGGGAAGGTGATGGTGGGGCAGAAAAACTTGGGAAGCTGTGATGGTGGGTTGGATTTGCAGCAGGTGGCAGGGGGTGAGATGTTCCTGGGTGGGGTGAGAGGGAACATCAGGGTTGAGAGAGGAGCAGCAGCAGCAGCCACTTCCCATGGGTCACTTGAGGAGTTTCCTGCTGGGAGGGACCAAGGTTGGGACTTCCCCTGGGGTTGCTGTAGCTGGGGATGTTTTCTCTCTCCAGGGAATGAAAAATATGAGAAGGTCCTCCTGGAGGCAAAACAGAAGATGGAAAAAGACAGGCAGAGAGATGCAGCAGATGCTCCAGGGGAGGCTGTGGCCACAGGGCCACCCGTGGACAGCTCAGACCCCATGGTGAGCCCCTTGCTGTGCCCCCTGGTCCCCTTGCACCCCACAGCAGGTGCCCTGGTGGCACTTGGGACCTCCCTGCCTGCAGCTGCCCATGATCCTGCAGCAGCTCAGCGTGGCCTCAGGGTTGGTCACTGCTGGTAGTTGTCCCTCCTGGAGATACAGGAGCTTCTTGACTGCCCCAGGGAGAGATCCTGAAGACCACGTTGATGTGATTGCATTGATGGCACTTTGTGATGGAGATGCAGGTCATGGTTGGGCTATTTGTGGCCCACAACCCAAGCCCTTCCAGGCTGACAGAGCTTAAGAGCAGCAGGGACTGTGCTGGCTCTGGTCTTCTCCAAGAGGCACCAGCTTTGTTGTGGTTCTCTTCTGGAAAGAGCTTTTCTCCAAGCTGCTTGGGCACTGGCTGCAGACAGGCAGATATTTGGAGCCCTGGGAGGTTCCTGGCTTGTCTGGCTGGCCAGATCAGCTTTTAGAAGAGTGACTGGGCTGGTGAGGATGCTGGAGTTAATTTCCTTTCAGATGAGGTCTAGGAGAGCAGAAGGTGTCACAGACACTGAGCAGTGAGGCAGGAGGAGCCCATGACCTGTCCCCAGCAGAGCAGGGTGGGATCCTCTTCCAGAGACAAGCCTGTCCCTCAGGAAGGACCTTTCCTAGCCAGACACTGTCTCTCCTCAGTTGGACACTCTGCTGCAGATGGAGATGGAGCAGATGCTGATGGAGGAACATGCCCTGGAGCAGCAGAAGGTCCTGGCCTCAGGTCCCCTGGAGGACACAGCCTTTGACCTGCCTGCTCGGCGGAGGCTTCTCAAGTGAGTGGGGACCCTCCCCCCATATTCCAGGTGCCCCAAGTGCACCTCCCAGTGCTGTCCCCCTGCTCCTGGGAGCTCCTGGTGCCTGCAGAGCTGGGGGCTTCAAGAAGGCTCTGATCCTGAGGGACTGACACGTGCCCCGTGAGCAGCTGAACGTCCTCAGCCCCCCTGAGCTTCTGGGGGTGCTTGGCTCCCCACAGCTGATGGGACCTGTTCCTGGAGCTGAGGGCACCCAGTGCAGACCAGCAGGGCCATCCCTGCTGCCCAGCTCTGACAGACACCACTCGGAGCTGGTGTCCTTGCTCCAACCCCCAGGTGAGGCTGAGCAGAAAGATCAGGGCACCTCAGGTTGCCCAACCCTGGCCAAGCCCAACCCAAGGTCCCTTGGGTGCTGGTGGGACTGCAGGGCTCAGCTGGGGCCCCTGCTCCTGCCTTTGGGAGGAGGCACAGGCTTGGCAGGCTCCAGCTGAGGAAGCAGATGCTCTGCAGACCCCATCCTGGGGCTGTGGGGTCACTGGGCAAGGAGCTCCCAGTGCTCCCAGGTGCTTTTCCAGCTGCTCCACTGGGGTGGGTCTGGTCGCAGAGCTGTGCAAACTGGTTTTGTGTGAAGGTCCCACTGGGAGCTGGTAAAACCAAGGACCTGCACCTCCCTGGGACTTAGCAAGGCCTTGTCACCAGGTGGTCAGGCCCATCCCTGCCTAGGGTTCAGTTTTGACTCAACAAGTTGACCAGTGAACGCAGAAACCTCCCCTTCCTTCCCACCTCCCACCACCTGGAGCTGCAGCCTCAGGCTGGGGTTTCAGGACTGTCCTTCCATCTGCTTGCAGAGCTCAGCTCCCTGAGTACCTCCTGGACTTTGGCCACGTTGTCCTTGGGAACACCCACAGCCACATGGTGAAGGTCACCAACACCGGGAGCTTCCCCGTGTCCTTCTGCGCCGACGGGCGCGTCCTGGGTGACACAGGTAACCAGGACTTCATCTCCTGGAGCTGGTCCCCAGGAGGTACCAGAAGGTGCTGCTGGGAGGGTGACAGAGCCCTGGGACAGGCTGCCCAGGAGAGGTTGTGGAGAGGATCCGTGTGGGATCTGCTGTAGGTGATGGAGGGTTGGACTAGATGATCTCCAGAGGTCCCTTCCAACCCGCTCTGTGACTCAAAGAGGTCCTGCACAGAGCTGCCAGCCAGGGCACCCGTGGGGGCCTGAACATGCTTGTGACACGTCCCACGTCCCACGTGTGTGTCTCAGCTGCTCTGTTTCCACCCGTGGAAGGTCTCAGCGTGGAGCTGGGTCGCGTGAGGAACCTGCCCCAAGGTGAGACCGAGACCTTCCAGGTGCGCTTCGACCCTCAGAGGGCCAACCAGCTGCTGGGAGAGGTGGACGTGCTCCTGCCCATCAAGGTACCACACTTGTGGGGGCAGGTGGCAGGTTGGGCACGGCAGCAGGAGGCACTTGAGCTCTCAGCTGGGTGTTCTGTCCTTCCCCAGGTCACAGGAGGCCCCACGTTTCACGTCCGCCTGCGTGCCCAGGTGGCCGAGCCATCCCTCTGCCTCTCCAGGAACAGGCTGGAGTTCTCCACTGTCCAGTGTGGGCAGTGTCTGGAGGAAACTGTCCAGCTCTGGAATCAGCTCCAGGTCCCTTGTAAATGGGTCATCACCATGAATGAAGCTGTGAAGAAGGTAAAGCACAGACAAGGTGGAACGGGCAGCTTCTCGGTTGGGTTGGCTTTGCTTCTTCTGGCCTTTCTGCCCCTGTGGTTGCCCAAGCACTTGGGCTACAGCTCATGGGAGGAAGGTTTTGAGGGTGCAGGGCAAGGCTGGTTCCTCTGGGCCTCTTCACTAGCTGGTGCTTCACTTCTCTGCCACCTTCACCCATTCCTCCTCCTCTGAGGACAGTGTCTCCCTACCTGCCCACCCCACCTGTGTGTTTTCCCTCCAGTTACAGTGGTGGCCGTGGCTGGTTGGGACGTGGGGGCTTCTCACCATGGTGCCAGCATCTCAGAGCGTGGCAGGAACCACACAGGTGTGTCCTTGCAGACCAAGGAGACCTCACCCCAACCTTATGTGTGTGCTCAGGTGGACAAACACTTGCCCGCCGTCGTGCGTCAGAAGCTGCTGCAGGAGCTGAAGGCCAAGCCTGGTGTCTTCTCAGCTGTGCCCTCAGCTGGGACCCTGGCTCCGAGACAGAAGTGCCAGCTGAGGGTCAGGTTTTCACCCACAGAAGAGGTGAGGTGGGCCCGTGTCACCCCCAGGAGGGCTGGCAGGGAGATGTAGTGACGAGAGCCCCAGGCAGGGAGGAGGAGATGAGTTCTACCTCCATGGGGAGCTTCCTGCAAGCCCTGAGCCCTCTGGGCCTCAGTTTCCCCTGGGGCACACTCCCCTGAGAGGGGCTGGCACAAGTCTGCCTGGTCCTCCTTGTCCTCCTCCATGCATGGGTGGATTTCATGGAATCCCAGACTGGTTCAGGTTGGGAGGGACCTTCAAGATCATCTAGATCCAACCCCCTGCATGGGCAGGGACACCTCCCACCAGCCCAGGCTGCTCCAAGCCCCATCCAACCTGCCCTTCAACACCTGGGTGGGCTCTGATGTTGGCCTGATGCAGCTGTGCCAGGGCTGTGTCTGGGAAACACTCCCCAGCTTTCATGTGGGTGTTGTTGGGTGAAAACATCTGATGGTCCATTTGAGATCCACCTGACACCCCAACGTCCAGTTCCACTTCACACCAGGATCCATCCCAGTTGCTCAGGTGCTGCAGCCCCTGCTCCAACTCAGTGCCTGCTTTCTCCTCCCCTCAGAGGCCCTGAGGACACCCCAACCTTGGGGGGAGCAAGGGTTGAATTGGAAGCCCTGTCCCCTGGGGCTTCATGGAGGAGTTCCTGCTCTTCTCTCTTTCCAGAGGTCCTACCGAAATGAGCTGAAGATCAACATCTGCCAGAGCAGACAGCAGCTCCAGCTGCAGGTTTTGGGACGTGGTGTGGAGCCACAGCTGGAGTTCAACCCCCCAGTGCTTGAGCTGGGACCTTTGCTGCCCTTGGGCCGTTGGGCAGAGGGGACAGTGGTGGTGAAGAACCCCTGTGAGTTCCCCATTGAGTTGTACTCCTTGGAGTTCGACCAGCAGTACCTTGCTGAGGAAGAGGTGAGGGGGAAGGTCCTGGTTCTCCTCTGCCTGCTCCCATAGCTTCAACCTTCCCCATCCCCAGGCTTGGGCCAAGGAGATGGAGGGAGAAGCCTGGTGGGATTTCATGGACATCCTGCTCTGCTGGCTGGGGCTTGGATGGTCTGTGGTTGGGGGGCAAGGAGTGAAGGAGAAGCCATCAGTTGGCTGAGGAGTCTGTTCATGGGGTGGAGGTGAAGGAACATCCTGGATCTGGCTTCTCTTCCCTGCACACCAGATGCTGAGGATGCTGAAGGACTATGATGGCCACAACACCTTGTTGCTGCCTCCACGTGCCCCGGGTGAGAAGCTGCCCCCAGAGGTCCTGGAGTATTGTCGGGACCAGAAGAAGCTGCAGGATGAGCAGACAAAGTCCAGGCCTGAGGGATCAACAGGCCAGGAGAGTGGTGAGGGTTTGACATTGGCTGTCCTGTGTGTGGAGACAGCAGGGACTCCAGCCCACCTGCCCTGAGCTCTCCACCATCTCTTCTTTCTCCATGGAAGGCCCAAGCAGCCACGTGTTCCCCAGCTGGCTGGAGGAACTCCAGGGTGAAAGTGTGTGGCTTTTAACCTTCAAGCTCAAATCTCCTACCTTGGACTGGGGAAGCCACTGGGGTATCTCCTTGTGTCCCTCAGCCACGAGTAGGACAGCAGGAGTTCTCCAGCCAGTAGAACATCACTAGATGTTTGATATTTGCTCCTTCCCAGCAACAAAAGCACAAGCTCAACATTTCCAGGAGGGTGGAGAAAGCCCAGACAGGCTTCTTGGTACCTTGGGAGTTTCTCCCCTTGGGAGATGTTCCCTCTTTTCCATGTGGCCATGGAAAGTGGGGAATGGCAAAGAGCAGATGGCCTGGCCCCCTTCACCCTGGTCTTCCCTCTCCATGTCCTTCCTCCTCAGCAGCCTCTGAAGATGTCCAGTCTCAGTCAGACCAAGGAGGAAAGCACTCTGCTGGGGTCATTCACACCACCTCATCCCATACCTCAATCATTCCCTCCTCCACCCATGAGGAAAGCCAGTCCAGCAAGGTGGATTCCAAATCTGAACTGGGAGAAGATGAGGAGGGAGGAGCTGAGAGAAGACACGGGACAGGTAATAACCTGAGGGTCTTCACCTGGTTTGTCTCTTGTGGCAAAATGGCCTCAGTAGAAGACATCAGTGTTGGCCTCCATCACTCCACTGCAGCCTGGTGCCCCCTTTGCTCCTGTAGACCCTGGGATCAGGGTGGTGGTGTTCCCACCTCAGGGTGCTGTGCTCTCTGCCCTAAGTGGCACTGCCAGCCCAGGTGGCTTTTGGTGACCTTCTAAGGGCAAAGGCAGGAGCTCTTTGTAAAAGCTGTGGTGGTGAGTGCAGAGCCCAGCCAGATCTCCTGGAGTCACATTCCTAAAGCATCCAGAAGCTGGATCATCTCTTGGTCCCCAAGTGGAGCCTCTCCCATGGGACTGCAAAGTGCCCAGCCCTGCGTGTCCCTGACCAGGAACCCAGGACCAAACTCCTGGGAGGACCATGTTGACAGTTGATGGAAGGAGACTTGGCCCAGTCCTTTTAGGAACTGCTGAGTGCCCATTCTGTCCTCTTTTTACCACCCCAGTTTACTACAATCTCCACCAGAACCTTTTCCCAGTAACCTTGGTGTTAGACCCTGATCTGCACAAGCCCAAGAGAAGGGTGTGAGGAGACCCTGAGCCTGATGCTGCTTTCAGCAGTCTCCTCTCCCAGGAGATGGATCAGGGGGGTGGGTCAGGCTCACAAGTAGGCTAGAAGGTGACTTTTCTACCCATGTCTGCCCAGCAGAACCTCAGCCAAGCACCACCAGCAGCAAGGAGAACACAGGAGAGGTGGAAGAGAGCCCTGTCTGTAGGGCCATCGCCCGCCACCTCAGCAAGGTCCTCTCTGCTGAAGGACATGCAGCCCAGATCCAGAGGGGGATTGTCATCATTGTCCACGGGGCACCCAGGACAGGTAGGTGAGCTGAGAGGAGAGGGGGAAGCAGGAGACAACACAGCCTGGTGGACCAATGGTGCTTGGTTGGTCAGTTGAAGTGAGGAGAGCTGAGCCACCATCGTTCTGGGAGGTGGGACGGTCCCAGGCTGGTGCAAGGGGTGTGGATCATCTTGTGGCCACACAGCCAGGCTCCTTCCCTCATGGGACCACATTGCCTAGTGTCCATGTTGCCTTGTGGGAGCAGTCCCTAGCCTGTGGTGACCCCAAACCGTGCCCAGATGTTGCCTGAGGCAGGGCTGGCAAATGGTCTGAACGGTGGTGGGACAGGCTGAAAACCCTGGCCCAGGGTCGAGTTGACCACAGAGGATGAAGTCCTTGGCTGAAGATGAAGTGGGGGTGATCCACCTGGCTGTCTTGGCCCAGGGTTGAGGTGACCACAAAGGACAGAGCCCTCAGCTGAAGGTGAGGTGGAGATGACCCACCTGGCTCTGGGTGATGACACTTCTGACCACGCTCCCTCGTGGTTCCCTCTAAAGGGCCACTTTGCCTTCCAACTGTCCTCCAACCACTCGAGTCCCATTCGAGGGGCTTTTGCAGACCCTGTCCCTGAAATTGCCTCGGGTCCAAGTGTCAAGCAGGCAGGTTCCCTCTCTTCTTCCAAGGCAAGACCTCAGCAGCAGTTGCCCTGTCCAAGCGCTACGGTGCCGCCTGCTTGTCCATCGACGCCGTGGTGAGAGAAGCCATCTCAGACAGGAGCAGCCCAGCAGGGCTCCGTGCCCGGGAGCTCTGCATCAAGGCTGCCATGGAGCAGAGCCACAAGGACACAGAGGAGCCTGGTAAGGAGAAACATGCAACTTTTGGAAGCCCACCATGGGCTTCTGCTCGTTCCGGAGAAGCTGGGCAGACCCTTGGGGGGGGGCTTGAGGAGCACAGGTGTGGTGTGTAGGAATGCAGAGCTGCTTCATCTTTAGAGGCTCAGACAGAGACACTTGTGGTGCCCCAGGCTTCCCAGCTCAGGTTCCAGTTCCCAGGAGCAGTGAAGCCCACCTGTATTTTTCTCATGTCGTTCCTCAAAGCTGAACCCAGCTGGTTCCTCACGCACGTCAGGCAGAGCTGCTGCCCACTTTCCCGGAGAGAAAAACCCTCTGAAGTGGCTCATTAAGGACTAGATGACTTGACTTTGGAGTGTGGCTTCACACACATGAGAAGAAGGGAAGAATAAGCTCCCGGGGCAGTTGCCAGATGAAAGAGCCACTGCAGATGAGCTCTTTTCTCCAGAGCTTTCCCCAGATGCGCTGTCAGGTCGCGCAGCTCGTGCCCGTGGGGTTGGTTTCCACGTGAGGATGGAGGCTTTTTGGGAAGTTTATTGGCCACTTGGAGCTCTGCAGGGGCAGGAGGGGGAAGTTGTGCATTGCTCAGCTTTGAAGCTGGTTGGGTGGGGAGGGAAGAAGGGCCTGGGTTATCCTGAGTTATCCCGTGTTGAGCTCCGGAGGAGGTGGGTGAGGCAGCCCAGGGCAGGGCTTGGGTGTTGGTGTCCCTGGGAGGATGTGGGATGGGTGCAAGGAAAACCATCCCAGAGGACAAATCCAGGGGTTTGATCCACAGGAAAAGCTGCTGTGCAAATGGTGCTGCTCACTGTTTGTGAGGAGGGACAAAGGGATTGGCATTAAAAAGTCTTTGGCTTTAAACCCCAGGATCTGCTGGTGGGTTTGGTCCTGCTGATCAGAGAAGCAAGGGAAGAGCTGCTCCTGGAAGGCACCATCCCTGTGTCCAGGGAAGGGGCCTCCTTGCTCCTTTGAAGCATCCAGCCACCCACACCCCCTGTCCCCAGCCCTGCTGAGCCATCTGTCCCCTCAGCAGGTCAAGCTGCAGAGGTGTCCCTCAGCCAACAGCTGGGTGCTGAGGCCAAGCCCAGCCCATCCATGAGCCAGTCCAGCTCTGCAGAGAAGGGCAGCCAACAGTCCAGCAGCTCCAGGAGCAGAGTCAGCAGGAGGAGGTCAGAGGCACGTATGTTACTGGCCCACAAGCAGCACAGCACGGAGCCAAGAAGCTCCCAGGTGAAGCATCTGCTTAATGTTGGGACCTTTGTGTTGCTTTGGAGGATCACAGAACGGTTTGGGTGGGAAGGGAACCTTGAAAACTCATCCAGTCCCTGCAGTGAGCAGGGACATCTCCAACCAGCCCCGTCCAGCCTGCCCTGGAATGTTTGCAGGGCTGGGGCTTCTCCCACCTCTCTGGGCAACCAGTGTCTCACCACCCTCAGTGTAAAACGTTTCTTCCTTGTCTCTAAGTCTAAATTTCCCCCTTTTTAGTTGAAAACCATCTCCCCTGGTTCTATCACTCCAGGTCCTGTTCCAAGGGAAGGGGCTGCTTGCAGTGGGGGCCCTGTGTCATCCAGAGCCTGCTGCAGGCTGTGCAGGGCAGAGAGCCAGCTGGGCAGGCTGGGGACAGCTCAGGGTGGGCATGAGACCCTGTGCTCTGGCACAAAAGCTCTACTGGGTCTCCTGGTTTGGTGGCCAAGTGTCCTGGCTGACCTGGCTGCTGCACTGGGGGCTTGGGTTGCTGCTGGCCAAGGGGCAGACCCCCAGGGTGGTCCTCTGGAGCAGCTGGCCTGCATTCTGAGAGACCCCTGCAGTTGGAATTGTTCAGGGGTTGCCCAAGGGGTTGGTTTGAATGTTGCAGGACTCGTCGGGTTCCTACGTCATCTCCTCCACTCCCTGCGTCCCTGCCCAGCGGTGGCAGAGTGTGAGCAGCACAGAGGGAGAGCTGAGCTTCCTCAGCTGTGTGCTGCCCAAGGACCTGCTGCTCAGCATCCTCTCCAAAAGGCTGCAGGTACCTGGGGTGGGAGGATCTGACATGCTCCTGCTGAGCATCCTCCCCAAAAGGCTGCAGGTACCTGGGGTGGGAGCAGATGTTCCTGCTGCAGAGGGCCAGGCAGTGAGGTGCAATTCAGAGAGGGAGAGGGTCTGTATCTCCTGGAGGAGCCCTGGGCTGCCTCAGGGTGCCTTGAGTGCACCTGTAGAAGCCAGAAGTTGGCAGAGCAGGATGGGGAGGGATCTTCTCTGAGCTGAGACACCTGGACACACGCTGGCTGGTGTCTCCTGCCATGGACTGTGGAGCTTTGGCTGACTGTCCTCTTCCTTTCCAACCCCACCTGCAGCAGGATGACTGCTACCAGGGAGTGGTGTTTGATGGCCTGGAGACCCTCTTTGCACGCAACCCAGCCTCTGCTCTCCTCTGCCTGCTCAAAGCCATCAAGGATCGGCCACACATCTATTTTGTCAACCTCTCCCAGGATTATGCTGCTCTGAAAGCCAAGGAGGCAGCTGCAAAAGAGCAGCAAGGTGAGGCTCTTCATCTCCCTGCATCTCCAAGCCCTCAGCCTTCTCCACCTGTGTCTGGGGGATCAGGAATGTTTCCATGAATCCTTCCACCTTCAGGCTCAGGGCAGTCAGGACTCAGCTCCTGGTTGCTTAAAATCACCAGAGAGGGCAGTGAGAGGACAAGGGGTGATGGTTTTAAACTGGAAGAGGGGAGATGTAGGTGAGACATCAGGAAGAAATTCTTCCCCATGAGGGCAGGAAGGCACTGGCCCAGGTTGCCCAGGGAATCTGTGGCTGCCCCATCCCTGGCAGTGTTGAAGGGCAGGTTGGATGGGGCTTGGAGCAACCTGGGCTGGTGGGAGGTGTCCCTGCCCATGCAGGGGGTTGGATCTGGATGAGCTTTAAGGTCCCTTCCAGCCTTCCCCATCCTATAATCCTCTAAACCACAGCAGAGCTGAGGGTCTGCTCTGTCTCTAGTATTAAAGCTTGGGCACAAGGATGACCTGTTGGGGGTCAATAACTCACCAGCAGCCCCACAACCCTGGTGCACTTTGCTGACCACTGAGAGTTTGGCAGCTTCTCTGAACTTTGGGCTCCCCAGTGTCCTGGCAGGATGACAAGCTGGGTCAGGGCAGAGTTGTGAGTCCTCCCAAGCTCCCCCAGCACTTGCAGTCACTGATGGTTTCTCCTCTGGTCCGTGCTGAAGAACGGGAGCAGGAAGAAGCTGCTAGGAGGGCAAAAGCCCAACTCTGGGAGGTGGATGAGGAGGAGTATGATGCCCTCCCTGAGGAGAAGAAGGCTGAGCTGAACGATGACATTCGACGAGCCCAGAGGGAGAGGAAGCAGAGGTTTGTGAGCTTCCCATGGGTCCCTGAAGGGTCTCCCTGCCCTGGAGACCTTGGTGGAGCTCAGAGGGGTTACAGAGCAAAGGCCAGAAGTGTCCTTTACAAGCAGCACAAGGATGGGCAGTTCCACCTCCCTGGTTCCCAGTGGAGGATGGAGCTTGCCCTGGTGAGCTGCAGGGAACTGGGCTCTGTCCTCTCCTTGCCACCATGTCCCTGAGTGAATGATTGTGATTCTCCTTCATCCCCCTTCTTCACCCAACCAGAGGGGTTGTAGGGTGGGTTGGTGTGAGGTGAAGCTGTGCTGGCTTGGTTTAGATGGTGGTCCTGCTGGAGGTGAAGCCCTTGCAGTGCTCAACTCCCAGGGTTCTCCTGCTGAGTGGCTCAAGCCAGAGGGTCTCAGGCTGCAGCTCATCCTGGGAGAAGCTCTGACTCAGCAAAGCAGGAGCACATGTGGGATATAAGGGTGATTCATCCCTGCTGAAACTGGGAGGAACTTCAGCCCTTCTTCAAGCCCTGGCTGCAGTTGGTTTCTCCTGGGAGGAGATCACCAGGGCTGCTTCAAACTGGGATTTCCAGGACAGGCAGCATGAGTTCCCCATGGTCACAGCTGGGTTCCTGCAGGAAACCTGGTGGTTCTGAGCCTGAGTCTTGCAAGGAGGGGAGTTGCTGCAGCCTTGATGGTTGGGATTCTTCTCCCCCATGAGCAGGTTGTGCCTGGGGAGAAGGGCTGGATGAGCCAAGTGTGTCTTGGCTGGAGGTGTCCAGGTGGACTTTATCAGAGAAGTTGGACAACTGGGACCTTATCACAGCAAGGCTTAGACCTGGCTGGCCTTGGAGGTCCCCTCCCAACTTGCCTCAGTATTTCCAGCCTCCCAAAGGTTGAGGGAAGACCATGGAGATGGTCTAACAGTAGTGCAGGCTCAGCTGGGACTGAAGCCAGCCCAGGTTCCTGGTGGTGACTCTCAGAGGTGTTTTCTGCTTGGTTTGCTGAAGGGAGATGGAGAGGAAGGCTCGAGAGCTGGAAGAAAAGCAGCAGCAGGAGCTCCAACGTTTGAAGGAGGAAGAGATGAAGAAGAAGGGTAAGAAGGGCAAGAAGGAGGTTGGCAAAGACAAAGACAGTGCTTCAGGGAAGAGAAGCCATCCTGGAGGCAAGCAGGTGGGTGGTTGTGCTTGCAGAGATGGGTAGAAGCTCTGGGGACCCTCCTGCTGAGCTGTGCTGCTCCCTGAGATGCCAGCAGCCCCAGGCAGTGCTGGGGACAAGGACCTGCCCCTGAGGAACTCATGGGGCTGTGCTGGGGTCTGGTCCTGCTTCTCCTCCAGAGGGTGTGTTCCCATGGGTTGGGTGGAGAAGTGCTCCTCAGGGATCATGCTGCCTTTGGGTCATGGCTTCAGGTAGCTCCTTCATTCACTGTGAAGCCCTGGGTGGGTTCAGTCCAGCATGTCTCCCAGTTCTGCAGGTGACTCACACCTCTGAGCCATGGTCCCTCTGGGATGCCTTGTCTTGTCCTGCATGGCTGGCAGGAGTTACCACCAGGCCTTAGGTATCCATTAGCAACCAGAATTCCCAAGAGTCATCCCAGCACGGGGTTCTCAGCACACCAGCAATGGGCTGCCAGGAGGTGTCTTCACCTTTGGCTTTGTGCAGCCTGGCCTGGTGGGAGGTGTCCCTGCTCATAGCAGGGAGGTTGGGACCTGATGGCCTTGAAGGGCCCTTCCAACCTCAACCATTCTGTGCTTCAGTGCCCTGTGTGGGTTGGGGAAGCTCCTCTTCAGGTTTGCAGGCCTCCTCACCAGTCTGGCACTGGGGAGTTTGGTTCCAGTGGTGCCAAACTGGTTGCCAGCTGCCTTCTGAAGTGGGATTTGTGGAGCACCTGCATGGGTTTTGGAGGAGGTTGGGAGTGTTCTTGCAAAGATCATCACTGTCCTACAGCTTTTCAGCCAGGGCTTTTGAGATGCTCCTTTCTTGTTCTTGCTCCTCCTGCCCAGAACACAAACACATCCACCAGCAACACCGTGTCCACCAGCAACCGCTCGGATGTCACGGAAGGGGCAGAGAAGAAGGGACATAAGAAGGAGTGCCCAGAGTCTGCTGGAAGTGGGAAGGAAGCCAAGAAGCACAGCAAGGTTCCCCCAACAGATCCCTGCCCACCAGTACCTGCCCAGCCCTCGGAGAGGGAACAGGACGAGACCAAAACTGTGGCCCTGAGTGACAGCGAGAAGAACTTGGCCCTGAGGTTTCAGATCTGTGAGGCTCTGCAGAAGGACATTGCACATATTTTGGCCTCCTGGGACAGGGCTCAGGGCATCCTGCTGTCCCTTCCCACCCAAGAGGAGGTGAAGCAGCCAGAAGACAATCGCCAGCGCGTGTCCAGCCACAAGAGGAGGAAGGACAAGGAGAAGGAGCAGCTGGAAAAACAGAAGGCTCCTGAGGAAGCACAAAGTGCAGAAGGGTCAACCAAAGGGCAGGATTCAGGGGTGCCCTGCTTGGACATCCCAGTGCTGAACTCAGAAGATGTGACTAAGATGATCCTGGAGAGTGGCAAGCTGCCAGCCCCAGAGCAGGTAAAGCCCTGGGCCCTTGTGTCCCACCAAGTGACAGTGGCACAGAGCCTTGTCCAGGCCCCTGCTGATGATGTCCCACAGCAGCCATGTGGCTGGGGAGGTTCTCAGCACCCCTCAGGTGGGTGGAGAGGAGTATTCTCTGTTCCTGCATCCTCACTGGTCAGAGCTTCCCAGTCTGGGTATCATAACAAATGGTCTCAGGGCAGGTCATGATCATTGTTTCCTTCTCTGTAGGTCCCACTTGTAGGTCATGGCTCTGCCCAACCATGTCAAGAAACCAAACCATTGCCAAAAGCTCAGAGAGGAGTGTGAGGATGGAGGTGACAGGAGCACTAACAGGGTTTTCTCTTAACACTGTAGGTCCTGGATGACCTGGGACTGGATCCCTCAGGGCCTCCTGTTCTCCCTGCTGTTCTTTACTCTGTGATCCACTACCCGGAGCAGCGGGTGGCCCCTGCAGCAGGAGAAGCCTTTGTCCTTGTGGGACCAGAAGGTGCTGCTGGGGAAGATGAAAAGAAGGATGTGGAAAGTCTCCTGGATAGCCCCATCGTGGCCAAAGTGAAGGTACCACGGGAACATGGTGGGGGAAAGGGTGGAGAAGGGTCACTGGAAGGACAGTGAAGACACGATGGGGTCCCGTGTCCACAGGCACCTCTCTTGTCTGTCCAGAAGAGAGAGCTCTGCTTGAGCCATGGGATGGTTCTGCAAGGTGAGAGGGAAAAAAATCACCTAAAGCTCTCAACTTCCCTTGAGAAAAGGGTCTAGGACAAGGAGAGAGGGTTTGGGGGCAAATAGAGGGTCCAGGGTGAGGAGAAGTTCCATCAGGAGAACAAAGTGCACTGAAGAAGACCAAGTCCATGGGCAGATAGGAAACCAGTTCCCTATTTATCCTCTCTGCTGTTTGCTAACCTGCAGCTTTCTTTCCAGGCTGGGGATGTCTCAGGGCAGAGCTCACCTGTCTTTTTCTCCCTTCTCTCTCTCCCCACGTTGGGAAGATACACGACGAGCTGGGCAACCCCACCAGGAGCCACTCAAGGAAGGAGAAACCTGGAGGCAGCTGGGATGCCATGAGGAGGAGGAGAAGCTCAGCCCGGTCCAGGAGGAGTATCCAGGGGCTGGGCTTGTCCACACGTTCCCCTGATATGGACCCAAACAGCCTGGAGTTGGCCTCAATCCTAGGGAGACCTGTCAGGTGAGCTGGGAGGAAGGAGTTGATCCATCTGCTTCATGTCCATCTCACCCACATGAGGTCCCTCATCCCCTTAGGGACCATTGGCCAGCACCTCCCAGGGGGTGATGAGCCCACCACCCTCCTCCTGCTCTCCTTTGCTCCTTAGCAATGGCTGAAGCCTCCTCTTCCCTTGCCAGGTCGAGCAGCTACAGGTGGGTGGTGCCTGCCCATGGTGAGGTGGAACTGAAGGTCTACTTCAGCTCCAAGGTGCTGGGGCAGTTTGACCAGACGCTGCATTTTGAGATCCTGGGAACAAACCGTCTGTACCAGCTGCACTGCAGGGGCACCTGCCTCTACCCCACCATCAGCCAGGACCCACGGTAAGGCCAGGAAGCTTCTCCCTGCCCTCAGAGCCAGGACTGTCCCTTGTGTCCCTCTGAGGTTCTTGGCTTGGGCAGAATGAGCTGCCAGAGCAGCCCAGAACCAGTTCCCGTGCTTGGAGCTGGGAAGCAGCACTGGTACCTCAGTCACCCCTAAGGGTTATAACTTTCTGACCTTCCCAGAACATCTCTAAGTTCCTCCTTCCCCATTTTTCTCTACCCAGGCTGGTGTTTCCTCACTGGATAAAGAGCAAGGCAGATGAGGACATCATCTTCAAGCAGTTTGTGATGGACACGGGTGTGTTCCACTTTGGACCTCTGCTGTGTGGGAAGTCCAGAGCCAGGTGGGTGCTCCCTGCCCCCAGTGGGCATCCTGCTGTGCTCCCTGCTCCCTCTGAGCTGGTGGGATGGCATCTCCACAGCCTTGTGCCTTCATGTGGCACAGCTCAGTCAGAGACCTGGGCTTGAAGGACCATAGATGTGTGAACTTGATGAGGTAACAGGCACATGAGGCTTGGAGGAGATGGGGAGGGATGGAGATGATCATCTTGCCTGGTGGGTACCTGAGGGGCCAGAACCATCTGCTGCTTCCAGCCTGAAGGTGGCTTGGGCCAATTTGGGTCCCCTCTCCACATCTCAGCTTCACCACCCATGAAGTGAACATCATGGGGGCTTTTTTTAAAGTGCTTTGCAGACTGAAGGAGCAATTCTGCTGCTGGTTTGGTAACACTGATCTGTAAAACTGGTGGGGACTTCATGGTTTGACCTGCCTGGGTGTGTGTGTGGGGGGGGGATCTGCAGAGGAACAAGAATGGGATCCTGGAAATGATCCTTCACTGCTGGATCAAGTCTGCCCAACAAGAAGCTGCCACTGGGGCTGCTGGCAGATTTCTATTTTGAACATGCTTTAAAAGATCAGAAACGAAGTTCTTGTCTTCTTGGGAGCTCCCCAGAGCCAGGGGGATTTTGACAACCCAAGACAAGGAAATCAAAGAGTTGAAAAAGCAAAAGAGGCTCCTCAGCCTCTTTCAATGGTCTCAGGTTGGCTTCTTGGGAGCCTTTCACTCCCAATTCTGTCCCACACCCTCGAGAAGGAACATTTGGAATGAGTCCTTTGTGTTTCTCTCCCTGAGAACTTGGAGCTCACCCATGGAGCACGAGGCAATCTGGTGCATTTTTTGGAAGAGATCAGCTCAATTATTTTTAGAACCTCTTTTCAAAAGAGTTTCTTTATACCCTGCAGGGACAGAAACCCAGTGAAGAAGAGGGAAGGACCCACGTGCCTGGTGGGCTTTTCTTTCTCCAGGCTCCTTTGAATTTATATTTGGTAACTTCTGTTTTCCTGACCTGAGCATGGTCATGTTTCTGGGATGGAGGCACCAGGTTTAGGGGCAGGTGTCAAAATAGCTGAAGGATGAGGACTTGACTTGCAACTGAGAGGGATCTTTGATCTCAGCCTGCTTGTTGGGCTTCCAAGTCCAACCTCCTGCTGCTGGGACGTGGTGCTTCACTCTCTGGGAGAAAGCCAGTGTTCCTAGGGTCTCCTCTTCTCCTTTTTGTGGACAGGTACAAGGCTCTGGAGTATCCCAGCAACTATGAGACAATAACCATCCTCAACACCACCCCCTTGGAAGCAGAGGTGCAGTTCTCCTTCCAGCACGACCTCAAAGCCGACACGTTCCTTTTGGACCCTCCCAGCATGAAGCTGAAACCTCAAGAGAAGCAGGTTAGGAGATGGGCAGGGCAGGTAGAAGTGCCCAGGAGCTGTTCCTCCTGCTCACTGGATGCTTCTTCCTTCTTCTCGTGGGGATGGGGCAGGAGCTGTGCATCTGGGCATACCCCACCTCAGCTGGGCTGCTGGAGGACAAGCTGGTCTGCTGCATTCAGGAGAACCCAGAGCCTGTGACCTTCCAGCTGTGCTGCCAAGGGGTGCAGGTGGAGCTGGGGGTCAACCCCAAGCAGCTGCATTTCAGCAAGGTGCTCCTGCACAGGTCAGTTGTTCCCAGTCAGCCCCATTGCCAGCAGTTCCCAGGGTCTTGCCCACACTGGTTTGGGCATCCTGTGACAGCCAGAAGCTCTGTAGCCCCAGCAGTGCTGAGCAACGGGCATCCCAGGGTCTTTGTGTCTTGGCTGCTGGTCCAGAGAGCAGTCCAGTGGCTCCTCCTTCTCTTGGGTACTGTTCTGGCACCCAGGTCTCCCCTGGGACCTCACTTGCAAAACCTGTGGCAAAGAGAAAGATCAGAAGGTGATCTAAGGGCTGGAGCAGCTCTGGGGACAGGCTGGGGGAGTTGGGGTGTTCAGCCTGGAGAAGAGAAGGCTCCAGGGAGACCTTAGAGCACCTTCCAGTGCCTGAAAGGGCTCCAGGAAAGCTGGGGAGGGACTTGGGACAAGGGCAGGGAGGGAGAGGACAAGGGGGAAGGGATGAAAACTGGAAGAGTGAGGTTTAAGTTGGACATGAGGAGGGAATTGTTTGGTGTGAGGGTGGTGAGAGCCTGGCCCAGGTTGCCCAGGGAAGCTGTGGCTGCCCCATCCCTGGCAGTGTTGAAGGGCAGGTTGGATGGGGCTTGGAGCAACCTGGGCTGGTGGGAGGTGTCCCTGCCCATGCAGGAGGTGGGATCTAGATGATCTTCAAGGTCCCTTCCAACCTGAACCAGGTATCTGATGGTTCTAGGAAACCATCTCCCTGGGGTTTCATGCCCAGGGATGGGGCTGCAGCTGCGTGACAGGTGAGCCAAGTGTCTCCGTGTCTCTGCAGGAGGGAGAGCAGGACCCTGGTGCTACAAAACACCAACCCCCTGCCCATGGCCTGGAGGCTCAGTGGGCTGGAGAACCTGGGGGAGGACTTCTCTGTGTCACAAGCTGAGGGCATCATTGCTGCCTGCACGGAGTTTGAGGTGCATGTGTATTTCAAGGCCACAAAAGCTCTCAGTGTGAAGAAGATGATCCGGCTAGAAGTGAGTGGAACTGTCCCCTCCCTGGCACAGTGACCAGCCCTGTGCTCTTAGGGGTGGAGACCATCCCTGGAGGGTGCCTTGAAGAGAGGGTAGAGGATGAGCCTTCATGAGGTTCCTCTCACTGAAGGATTTTGGACACTTCAGGGAGTACAAAGGTGCTCCTGGAGCTGAGTTTGGTGGGGCAAGGGTGTTGTGTAGTCAGGAGGGACATTGTGGCTGCCTGACAGACACACCAGGGTCTACAGCCCCAACTTGTGCCTCAGAGGGGCTCACCAGGACACACGGCTCATCCTGAGTCCAGGTAGAGCAACAAACCCTCCCCCTGGGACTTTGTTCCCTGTGGTTTATGGGCTGGATTCCAGTGAGGACGGTGGGTGAGTGAAGAGGAGGGGACTGGTTGCCCATGTCACCTGCTCTGGGACACCTCAGAACTTCCTGTGGGTTGTTTTGCCATCTCTTTGCTTCCCAGGGTGCTCCAGCAGGTGTGTTCTCCACTGTGGGAGGGTGATTCTTTCTGCAGCAGAATCCCCCCTGGGTCAGCCCAGGAGATGGAGAGGTTGGACAGCTTGGGAGTCTAGAAATGCTTCTCAAGCAGGGGAGGTCCATGGTGGGAGCAGCCAGCAGGGACAAGGACTCATGGGTTGTCTATCAAAGGAACTGAGGAGAGTGATCTGAGCAGTGTTTGTCTCTTGCTGCCTGAGGTTTCGGATGAAGAAAATATCCTGGGGATTGTTCAGATTGAGAACATCCAGGTGTTGGCAGAAGCCTATGACATTGCTCTGAACATCAACATGGGCAAAGGTCAGTGGGTGCCCCTAAACCCCAGTAGTCATCTGCTGCATGGCCTGGCCAGGTGGGCCCCCAGAGTGGTTGGGTTGGGATGGGAGCAGCGTCCAGGTGTGGTTAGGGCTCCAAACCACACGTGTCCTGCAAGGGGGGCAAGGGCTGCAGCACAGCCAGGCCTCTCATCCCCCAGCTCTGAAACCTGCAACTCAGGGGGCAACAAGAGATTTGGGGCTTCAAAGTGACACTGAGGTGAAGGAGCAGTTGGCAAGTCCTGTAGGCTCAGCGTGGCACACAGAGCTGTGGGATCTGGGCAAGGAGGTGGAAGCCAAACTGCTCAGCTGCTAAAGCCTCTGGGTGGGCTCTGAGTGAGGGAAAGGGCAGCAAAGTGAGGGTGACAGAGCCCTGGGCCAGGCTGCCCAGAGAGGCTGGGGAGTCTCCTTCTCTGGAGACATTCCAACCCCCCTGGGCATGTTCCTGTGTGATGTGCTCTGGGTGCCCCTGGGTTGGGCTGGGGGAGCTTCCCAGGTCCCTTCCAACCCCTGGAATTCTGTGATTCTGTGAAAAGTATCTAGAGGACACTGCCCAGAAGGGAAACTTGCTGGGAAGGGCTTTGTGCTGCTCCAAAGAGGGACCTGGTCACTTGGTGTGGTCTGCAGCTGCTCTCAAGCACTCCCTTCTCCCATCTCTGCAGCTACAGATGGCAGCCTGGATTTTGGAATCCTGAAGGTCCTGGAAAGTGCCAAGCAAGTGCTGACCCTGAAGAACAAAGGGAAGTACGAGATATCCTACAGGTGTGTCCAGCAGCCTGCTCTGTGGGTGTGTGGTGCCACCATCTGCCCAGGCCTTGCCTTCCCCTTCTGTCCCTCACCAGGACCTATGTCCATGCTGGCTGCCTGGTGCTCCAGGTGAATTGCAAACCCCAGGCTCTCCAACCTCCAACACTATCATGGGGGATCCAGCCACACCCCAGCAGTTCTTCACAGCTCAGCAGGAACCAGAAGATGCTGAAATTGAAGGTTCATGTTCTTCCTTTGAGGGCCCAGCTCATTGCTCTTCATGAGGCTCTTCAAAGGAAGGGGATGAAACAATTCAGTGTCAAGTTCACCTTCCAGCACTGTCAGGGTCTGGGATTCCCCAAGCAGAGCTGGACTCTGGAGTTGTTATGGTCCTGTGCAAAGCCCTGACTGTGCTGGTGGCACCAGGGCTTTATCCCTCCAAATCTCTTTGTCTCTTCCTTTCTCCCCAGCTTCAAGCTGGAAGATCCAGACACCAACATACCTGACTTGGAATCCCACTTCACTGTGCAGCCACAGAAGGGAGCTCTGACAGCCTCCGAGCGCCCCGTGCAGGTCCAGCTGCTCTTCCACCCCCAGGTGGAAGTGAACCTGAAGAACAAACCCATCCTGCACTGCCAGGTGAGCTGCCTGGGCCAGGCAGTGTGGGCAGGACTGGGGGTTGGCAGCAGGATGTGTGGAAGCTGGAAGCTTCAGCTAGAGAATCCTCTCATCTGTATATAGCAAAGTCCTTCAGGGGGGACATTGAGGTGGGACATGAGGAGGAAATTGTTTGGTGTGAGGGTGGTGAGAGCCTGGCCCAGGTTGCCCAGGGAAGCTGTGGCTGCCCCATCCCTGGCAGTGTTGAAGGGCAGGTTGGATGGGGCTTGGAGCAGCCTGGGCTGGTGGGAGGTGTCCCTGCCCATGCAGGGGTTGGATCTGGATGATCTTTGAGGTCCCTTCCAACCCAATCCAGTCTGGGATTCTAGGATTCTCTTTGTGATGCTTCCTATCTGGAGCTGAAATCCTGGCTCTGGATGAGATGTTTAAAGAGCTGCTGAGGAGCTGGGCTGGGCTGAGGGGCCAGGGGTGGGTGGGTTGCCCTCTGCTGTGTTTGCCAGGCCCTCCTCTGGTTGCAGGTGATTGAGCCCAACCTCGGTGATGGAGGTGAGACCATCGCTGTCATCCCCATCAAGGTGTCAGCTGAAGCTGTGTTCAGCAAGTACAACATCTACCCTGCATCCCTCAACTTTGGTGCCATGATGATGGGCACCAAGAAAACCTGCACCTTCTCACTGGAGAACAAAGGTGTCCTGGACTTTCAATTCTTCATCTACCGAGCAGACCAGGACGCACCTGTGTTGAGAAGGAGAAGGTGAGGGGGTGAGGGAAACCCTGCACCAGCCTTCCTGCTTCAAGAGGCACCAGGGCTGGGTGCTGTGTGACAGGACACCTGGGTTCTTGTCCATCTGTGTCACTGGCTTGGGAGCAGAAAGGTGCTTTGGTGTCTCCATGTGTAGGACAAAGCTGGTCATACAGCTCACCTGTCCATAAGCTACAGCAGGTGGTGCTCTGGGAGCCAGGAGGACTTCCCTCCATGGGGAGGATGGCCAGCTTGGGCCTTGGAGAAAGGCCAGAGGAGCTCAGCATGATGGATGTCTTCTGCTTCCTCCTCTCAGTGGACACCAGCTCAAAGCCACCCACTCCACGGAGAATGCAAGTGTAAGGAAAGGGTCTACCTCAGTCAAGCAAAGCAAGAACTTGGTGCAGAAGGACACAGTCACCACGCAGGTGGGTGGCTCCTGCTCTCCAGGAACCACTGCAGCTGGGGTGGGAAGAAACTGCTGGGCCACAAGACAGGAGGTGCTCTGTGTGCTGGAGATCCATCAGCTCCCAGGCACAAGCAGGAGCTGCTCAGTCCCAGCTGCTCTGGTTGGAGCTGGAAGGTCAGGAGAGGCCAGCAGGTCCTGTGGCAGCTGCTGGCCCAAAGAGGTCTCTGAGTGTCACAGATTTGGGATGTCCCTGTTTGAATTCCCAGTCTGCTGGGATGAGATGTCCTCGCTTTTCCTTCTTCCCAGCCCCCTCTCTCTTCTCCTCTATCATGTCTCAGTTGTTTCTGCTCTCCTGGAGGCTGAAGGCTACCACCTTCACCTCTGACACCCCAGCTCCTTTCTCTGTGTCCCTCAGGACAAGCCTACACCTCCTCCCAGCTCCTTCAGGTCACCCTGGGGCTGCCTCTGGACCATGGAGTCATCCCTTCCTGGCCTGGGACAGGCTGGAGGTGAAGGAGTCCTTGCTGAAGATCTGAAGGGAAGGCTCTTGGGTGTCATCCTCTCCTCTCCTCTCTTCCCACAGGCTCGTATCAGTGCAGGCATGTTCACAGTGTACCCAGGCTTTGGTTCCATCCCTCCTGGGGCCCAGCAGGTCATTGTGGTGGATTGTTATGCAGAACCCCTGGGGACAGGCAAGGAGAACCTCTCCATCGAGATCAATGACAGAGACCCCAAGGACAACCCCCATGGCATCTCCTACAGCCTGGCTGCTGAGTCCTGCCTCCCAGGTACACCCCAGCCACAGGTTCCCATGGCCAGACCTGCTGCTGCTCAGCACCCAGGTGTAGACAGAGAGCCACCCTGACCCTGAGGTCCCACCTCTAAATCCTCAGAGGTTCCAGTCCTTTTCAACTCTGCTGGTGGGGAGGGATGTGTGGAAAAGGAGAGCAAGGTCCTTGAAGGCTGAGGGGTGACTGAGCTCCATCCTCACAGCCACCAACCCCACCAGGTTGGGTTTTGCAGGGACCTGGGCAGGAAGGGCTTCTCAAGGCCACCAGATGAACCCAGCAGGAAAACTCCTCCAACCTCAGCTCCCCCTTCTCCTCTGCTCCCAGGGTTTGTTTTCGACGACGTCGAGTCCGTCTTCGAGGAGCATCGAATCTGCAGCAACACTAAGGTCTGCCAGGTCCTACAGCCCATCCAAGACAAGGGGGTGTTCCTCACAGAGGAGAACAAGTTCATCTTCACCAATGTCCTGGTTGGGCACCAGGCCACAGCTCGCTTCAAGATCCGCAACGCGGGCAAAATCCCCTGTGATGTGATCCTGTCCCTCAAGCCCCCCCCCAGTAAGGTAAGGGGAAGAGGCCACGGTGGGTGTTGCTCTGCAGGGGCTTTGTGGCAGCCTGGTTGCTTCTCCAGATTTGTTAAACCTCTTGCCCAGACTGGTCCAGCTCGGTGCAGGTCAGACTGCAAGTTGGGTTGAGTCCAACATGTCTCAAGCAAGGTTGGCTCTCTCCTCTGGGTCTTTGGTGAGAGACCTGAACCCTTCTGAACATCTCTTGGAAACACAGTCAGGGGGCTTTTCTACTGGATTGCTGTGCCAAGGCTCAGAGCAGACCATTTCCTCATGCTCCCTGGTCTTTTTTCTTCTCTTTGAAGGCCGATTCTGGATTTTTTTAATCATAGAAATTTTTTTGGCTGGAAAAGACCTTTAAGGTCACCAAGCCCAACCCTTCCCCCAGCCCTGCCAAGGCCACCACTGCCCCATGTCCCTCAGCTCCACATCTACAGGGCTTGGAAACCCCTCCAGGGATGGGGACTCCCCCCTGGGCAGCCTGGGCCAGGGCCTGACAGCCCTTTGGGGAAGAAACTGCTCCCAAGATCCAACCTCAACCTCCCCTGGGCAGGTCATCTCTTGTCCCATCCCTTGTTCCTGGGGATCAGAGCCCGACCCCCCTGGCTCCAACCTCCTCTCAGCAGCTGCAGAGCCAGCAGGTCTCCCCTCACCTCCTTGTCTCCAGGCTGGACACCCCCAGCTCCCTCAGCTGCTCCTCACAAGTTCTCCAGACCCTTCTCCTTGTGCTCCAGCCCCTTCCCCAGCTCCCTTGCCCTTCCCTGGACACACTCCAGCCCCTCCATGTCCTTCTTGTGCTGAGGGGCCCAGAACTGACCCCAGGATTAGAGATGCAGCCTCAGCAGTGCCCAGCACAGGGAATGGTCACTGCCCTGCTCCTGCTGGCCACACTGGTGCTGACACAAGCCAGGATGCTGCTGGGGATGCTGCAGCATTTTCCATGCCATCTCCACCTCCCATCTGTGGTGGGCTGGCTGCCCAGCTCTCCAAACAAGCTCCTGCACTCCTGGGCTCTCTGGCATCTCCCTGGGCAAGGTCAGCACCACTTTGGAATCACCCAGTGAGATGGCAAGAGCCCATCCAGGGAAGCAGGAAGGAAGGACACGCTGCCTGGGGCTGTTCCCTGTGATCCATAGCTGAAGAAAAGTGCCTGATGTTGAAGGCTGTTGTCTCCTAACACCCCTCTTTGGGTTCCTCCAAGCCCACCAGCCGCGTCAGCGACGTTTTCGAGGTGGATCCCACACGAGTGTGTGTGCCCAGTCACTCCCACATCTTTGCCTCAGTGATCTTCACCCCACAGAGCATGCAGAGCTACCAGTGCATGTTTGAGGCTTCCCTTGATATCCGGTAAATCACCCTGGGAAATCTTGGGAGGGGGGTGGGGACAACCTTTCTGGCAGATATTTCTCCTCTGAGAGGATGTCGATCTCTTTGTGAGCTGAACTCTTAGTAGCCCTAGTACTTAACATGATGTAGAAACCAGTAACTACTGGGTAGAGTAAAGAGGTAAGAGTGATAGTTTAGCCTGTAGGAGTAACTGGGAGGACAGTGTAATGTTAGGAAGTTATTTGATGATCCAAGGGCTGGAGCAGCTCTGCTCTGGAGCTAGGCTGGGAGAGTTGGGGTGTTCAGCCTGGAGAAGAGAAGGCTCCAGGGAGACCTTAGAGCACCTTCCAGTGCCTGAAGGGGCTCCAGGAAAGCTGGGGAGGGGCTTGGGACAAGGGCAGGGAGGGAGAGGACAAGGGGGAATTAAAACTGGAGGAGGGGAGATTGAGGTGAGACATGAGGAGGAAATTGTTTGGTGTGAGGGTGGTGAGAGCCTGGCCCAGGTTGCCCAGGGAAGCTGTGGCTGCCCCATCCCTGGCAGTGTTGAAGGGCAGGTTGGATGGGGCTTGGAGCAGCCTGGGCTGGTGGGAGGTGTCCCTGCCCATGCAGGGGGGTTGGAACTGGATGATCTTGAAGGTCCCTTCCAACCTGAACCATTCCATGAATGCATGACTCAGAAGGAAGTGGAGATGTGCAGCAGCTGAGCTGGGGCTTTCCAAGGACAAAGGATGAGATGAAGTGGTTTCTGTGCCAGTGAGGCAGTGAGATTCCCTCCTTGTTTATGTTCCAGTGAGATGATCCTCTGTGATCACCTGGGGTATATTAAGATATTTTATGTTAAGGAGTGATTGGAGCCCAGTTCCTCTGTCCTGGGACCTGTGTTTGTGCCAGGGCTCTTCACCTGCTCTTCCCCAACCCTTGAGTCACCAAACTGGGACACAACAAGCCAGTTTTCTGCCCTAATAAGCAATTGCTGGTTTAGTGTCCTTGGAAAGAATCTTCCCTGATGCTGTTATTTATTCACTTCTCCCTGGTTGGTTTTGTGCTGTTTTCATGCTGTGCTTGTGCTTTTTGAACGTGTCTCCTGTCCCCACAGCCAGGACATTTGCCACGTCTCATTCCTTGCCTCATTCTTGAGCTGCTGCACTGCAGGATTTGATGAAGGGGAAATGGTTTGTAACTGTTCTTCTGGAAGGTCTTGGCTGTTCAGAGCAGGTTCCTCTGGTGAATGGCCCTGGTGAGGGGCAGCTCTGTCTTGGGGTACAGGAGTGCCAGCCAGGTGGCACTGGCCTCATGGCTTGGCAAGTGGGGAGTGGGTTTGTGCCAGCCATAATCATAGAATCCCAGACTGGTGTGAGTTGGAAGGGACCTTCAAGATCATCCAGATCCAACCCCCCTGCATGGGCAGGGACACCTCCCACCAGCCCAGGTTGCTCCAAGCCCCATCCAACCTGCCCTTCAACACTGCCAGGGATGGGGCAGCCACAGCTTCCCTGGGCAACCTGGGCCAGGCTCTCACCAAAGGTTTCTGGTTTCTCCTTACCAATGGTCATGGTTTCTCCTCCTCTCTCCTGCAGCTCTCCAGCAGTTAAAGCACAGAGTCTGACCTTTGAGATCAGTGGAGATGGGAACCTGCCTCGAGTCACCATCCTGCACCCAGACCTCTGCAACAGGAGGGGGAACCCTCTGCTCCTCTTCAAGAAGCTGCTGCTGGGTGATGCAGAACAACTCCCCCTGGTCCTTCACAACAGTGGCCTCATACCTGTCCAGGTGAGAACCTGCTCAGGGGATGCATCATCTGGTCTTGTCCCACAGAGGTCCCAGAAAACTCAGTAGACCTGGGAACAGGTCTCAGAAGTTCTTTTGAAGGACCTGCCTGGGTGCTGCTCCCCAGGAAGGGTGTTCTTCTTGGAGATGTGGTTTTCTGACCAGCCTGTCTTTTCCAGTTCTACACAACACAAGAATCTTGGTTGGGTTTTTTTCCCCATCTCTCTTCTCCCCCTGTGGTTCTCACAGGGGAATGTGTGAAGTCCCAGTTACATTCAATGGGAGTTGATCACATTTTACTACCTTTTAATTAAACTCAGTTGCAGTTTAATTGCTTTCAGCTCATTACTTGCAGTACTTTATGTCCTGCTTGGTTGAATTTTAATTAGAATACTTTTCTTTCCTGCCTGATTTGACTTCCTCTTGGTGCTAAGAGGTGTGTGTGTGAAGCAGGGAACCATGTGGGGTGCCCTGTGCCATCCTACACCCACCCCACTGTGGTCCTGCTCTGTGTTCCCTCTTCCCAGCTGATGATAGACCTGTTGGATGAAGGGGGAGTTTTCTCCTTGAAAGCCAGACCCACCACACACTGCATCTATGAACCTGGGGACATGAAGGGGGACTCTCCTAGAGAAGGTAAATCCATTAACCATGGTTGTCCACCCAGGGGAAATGTGTGCCCTTCTCTGGGCTTGGCCAAACAGCAGCCAGATGGTAGGTGTGGGTGGGTTTTTTCCCTGGGTCTCTCTGTTCCCCTGGTTTTGCCCGTGGACTCTTTGCAGGGTTTCCTCTTAGCAAGTTGGAGGAAAGGTTTTCTGTTCTTCTGGCCATGGTGGGTTGAGTTGTGGGGGACTGTCATAGAATCCCAGACTGGTTTGGGTTGGAAGGGACCTTAAAGATCATCCAGTCCCACCCCCTGCATGGGCAGGGACACCTCCCACCAGCCCAGGTTGCTCCAAGCCCCATCCAACCTGCCCTTCAACACTGCCAGGGATGGGGCAGCCACAGCTTCCCTGGGCAACCTGGGCCAGGCTCTCACCACCCTCACACCAAACAATTTCCTCCTCATGTCTCACCTCAATCTCCCTCTTCCAGTTTTAATCCCTTCCCCCTTGTCCTCTCCCTCCCTGTCCTTGTCCCAAGTCCCTCCCCAGCTTTCCTGGAGCCCCTTCAGGCACTGGAAGGTGCTCTAAGGTCTCCCTGGAGCCTTCTCTTCTCCAGGCTGAACAATGACTTGAAAGCACCATCTGGGGCCTCTCCTGGCCATGGGGAGTTCCCAGCCTGAGCAGGGGCAGCCCCTGAGCCCCCAGGCAGCCCCCAGAGGCTAAACCCCAGCTTGACATGTGGCAGGAGGGGAGAACTGGTGTTAACCTGGGGACAAGACACTTCAGCAGTGACCCATATGGTGGTGTCAGTCTTGTGAACATAGGAGTAAGGTGTGGAACCACAGGTGGAGAACCTGTGCTTAGTTTCAACTTCTAATTCCTTTTGGAACCCCATGGAAATCTTCCCTCTGCGTGGCTGGATCCCTTGTCTCTGCCTTCCCTTGCTGTGCAGGGAGGAAGCCCCACACTGCTTCCCTGTTCCTGCATCATGAGGAATCAGCAGAGTTTGATGTGCTCTTCAAACCCATCCTGGCCCAACGTGTGGAAGGGCAGATCCACCTGGCAGTGGTGGACAACCCCTACGAGGAGACCATCATCCAGCTGGTGGGTGAAGGCTACGAGGATGACTTCACCCTAGACAACATCCGTGGCCTGGTGGCAGACAGCAAGGAGGACATTGAGGGCAGCCTGGAGGAAGACACAGTGGAGGGTAAGAGAGGAGAGGCTGCCCCAGGTGGAGTCAGGAATAGGGATGGACACATTTCTGCTCAACCTGTGCCAGGTCTTGGCAGAGCAGCCAGGCTTGAGAACCTGAGGGAAGATCCTCTTTCAAGGAGGAAGGGTCAGAGATACCAGCCTTCAGCTGAGGGGCTCTCAGAGGAGGTCTGTCAGCCCATGGTGTGCTCTGAAGACCATGTGTGATCACCTATATCACCAGGCCAGTGGACCTGGTGGTCTGTGAGCCACGTGTTGAGGGACATGCCAGGTGGCTCTGGAAGCAGAAGGATGGGGAACTGCATCTCCCAGAGGGAGCAGGGCTTGGAGTGAAGGAGGGAGCTGGACATAGCTGGGTGTGTGAGGGGCCTCACTGCTCCCTGAGATCTCTTGCTCTCCCCAGCTGCCAGAGTGAACCACATCCAGTTTGGGGAGTGCCACGTGGGGACCCCCTACACCGTGACCTTCACCATCACCAACCGCAGCCGGGCGGGCGCTGTGCGCTTCCAGTGGGGGGCAGACACCCCCTTCCACTTCTCCCCCCAGGTGAGCTTGGGGGGCTCTGCCCTTCCCTCCTCCCCAACCCCTTCCCAGGGAGTCACCACGTCGGAGGTGCCACCCCTGGGGCAGAGCTCTGAGCCCTGCAGAACAGGCTCCGTCTCGGGAAGGGCTTGGACCTTTCTCTCTCCAACCTTGGCTGAGCAGACAATGAATGGAGCTCCTGGCACAGCTGCTCACCTCCCTCCCTTCCCTCTCAGCCCAGTGTCCCCAACTGTGGGCTCTGCCCCTCTCCCTAGGTGGGCCACCTCCACGCTGGCTGTGCCAAGGACGTCAGGGTCACCTTGCAGTCGGAGGTGGCGTTCACCTGCAGGAAGCAGCCCGTGAGGTGCCAGGTGTCCCAGATCACCTTCCACCTGCCTCCAGAGCAGGTGCCCAGCTGGGACGACAGCCTGTGCAGTGCCAAGTGGGTGGATGTCACCAGGGGCCCAGCAGCCACCTGGCCTGTCAAGGAGAAGGTAAGAAACACCATAGAAAGAACTGTAGGAGACCATCTCTGCTAGCTGAGCAGCTCCTGCCTCCTCCTGACAGCTCTGTCTCCACTAATAGCAGAGAACTGGGTTGTGTGGGGGAGGTATCACCTCATTATGAAGCAGCCCAGGTGGTCGTGCAGGAGCCTGGAGAGGTATCATCTCCAAAAACTTGCTTTGACTGTCATTCTTGCCAAACCTGCTTATCCCGGGTGATGGTTCTTCTCTAGTTCCTAAACCATTGTAAGACCTGGGAACCAAACTTCACCAGTTGGAGCAGCTGGAGACTTCTCTTGCAAGCTCATTCCCATCCCCCAGTGCCTGTCTCCAGCCCTTCCCAGTCTGGCTGCTCCAGGTGTGACATCCAGATTCTCCTCTAAGACAAGAATAAGAAGGTGCTTTCTAGGGGTTGCCTTCTTGAGGTTCTCCATCCACAGAGCTCTGGCAGAGGATCTCAATCCTGACTGAGAGGGTTGCTGGGTGCAGAGGGGACCAAGAAAAAGCTCAGACACTCCACAGGGTTGAAACACAAGGACTGATACTTGGCCATAGTTCCCATGGGTGTGTTCCCAGTGGTGGCTTTGATCAGCAGGTAGAAACAAACACTGTAGTGAAAGGGTCACATTTCATCATCTTCCCAGGGAAATAAGTGAGAATGGTCCTTCCTCACCCCTAGATGTGGCTGAATTTGGAGGCCAAAAGGCTCCCTGCTCAGCCTGCCTTTGCTGGGCTCTGCTCAGTGGTTTTTTCCCCTCTCCTGTTTGGAGGTGATGGAGGTGGATCCAGAGCCAGCTCACACTGTCCTGGAGAGCAGCAGCCGTGACGTGGAGCTTCTCCTCAGTGCTGTGGTTGACTATGCCCACTTCAGCCTGGACACAGACTCGATTCAGTTTGAGCAGACCTTGCTCTTCCAGACCAGGACCTTCACGTGAGTGTTGGAGACCAGGCACGGACCTGTGGGTGGGAGCTGCCTTGGCCCAGGGCTGCCCCAGTGTCTGCTGCCCCAGTGTCTGCTGCCCCAGAGCTTTGCTGGCCTCTGCTTTTCCTTCTCCTCATGGTCTTGTGGTAACAAAGGTTTCACTGACTCATTTATTTCTTGGCCACTTAATAAACCTCATTTCTGGCAGGCTGGTCAGCCTTGGAAAGGGGTCCTGCTGCCTTCTGAGCCTGAGGTTTCAGCTTCCACACACATGTTGACACATCCCAGGGCCTGGATACATGTCACTTGTGGACCTGAGTTCAGTCTCACCTGCTGTTCATCCCTTTCAAAGACACATTTATTGCTTCACCTTCCTGGCTGGGGGCTGGGGTTCATACACCTGCACCCAAAGCCAAGCAGGAGGTGGTGGCTGCCACCCTGCCAGGATATGTCAGGAGAGGTGCAATTCTGCTCTACCTTTCTGCTGACCACCTGCAGCTCTGCTTTCAGTGCCTGTTCTCTGTCCTCCTCTGCTTGAGGACAAGTTTGCACTCAAAAACCATGGCAAACTGAGATGTCAGACCAGAATAAGCCCCTCAGATTAAGTCTCCTGGGCACCACACCTGCCCTTCCCTCTTTCACTCCCAGACTTGGAGATACTTTGTCTTGGGGCAGTGATCTAGCCCTGGCAGAGTTGTCTGGGGAAGATGATGTGACCCAGCAGAAAGAACAGGGTGCCAGGGACCCACCCTGCAGTGTTCACTTCTCTACTTGCTTGGGATTTCTTTTGGACTCGTTGTTCCTCTTCCTTGCTTTTCAGTTTCAAGCTGTGTAACACAGGGAATGTGGCCCTGGAATACACCTGGAGGGAGGCTGTGGAGGATGACAGGGCAGTGAGCTCTACTGAGGGGCAGATCCCATCCCACCTGGTTGGTAAGGCCCTGGGTCTGGGTGGCAGGTGAGGGTGCCCGGGGTGTTTCAGTTGGCAGCTGAGGCCTTGGGGAGCAGAACATGCCACTTCTCCCCCAGATATGAGTGGCTTTTTCACCTCTGTCCAGTCCTCTACTTCTGGCAGCATCTTCCCAGCTGCAAGGGAGGCTTTTTTCTTGCTTTTCAGACCCTCCTGTGCTTGCTCTGACACTTGTTCTCTGTGCAGGAGCTGAGCCTGGCTGAGGGGGGAGCCCCATGGTGGGTCAGGAATGGGAAAGGGGACATCATGGCCCCTCTTTGGGAAGTCTCTGGAGACTGGGATGGTGTAACCATGAGCTAGGTGACCTGCAGGCACTGGCTGTGTGCAGTTCCCCAGCCCAGGGCAAAGTCACTGCTGAAAATCCACCCTCCTGACTCAGGCACTGGGGTGTTTGCTGCAGGGGTCAGAGCTCAGTGGAAGGGCCAGGACTTGTTGTGGTTGTCCCTGAGCACACAAGTGGCCTTGGGAGCAGCTTGGTTCTGTGAGGAAACTGTCCCAGAGGTGTCATCAGGAGCAGGAGAGCTGTCAGCCCTGGTGTTTCCTGGCACAGGCAGCTTGTCCAACCAAAGCCCTTGGAATGTGCTTAACTCCCTCCCCTGGGGGTGTTGGGTTTTCCCTGCTCCAGGACAGGCTCCTGCTGAGCTGCTCTGTGGCTCTGCCATTACCTGGCTGGTTGTGGGTTCTGGAAGCCCAGCAAAGAGGAAAGAAGGAAAGGGAGTGAAGGACAGGGTGGTGCTGTCCCCCAAAGCTTCCTCTCCACCAGGCAGAACAAGCAAAATTCAGTTCTGCAGGCAACAGGGGGGCAGGACTTAGAATCTCAGACTGGTTTGGGTTGGAAGGACCTTCAAGATCATCCAGTTACAACCCCCTGCATGGGCAGGGACACCTCCCACCAGCCCAGGCTGCTCCAAGCCCCATCCAACCTGCCCTTCAACACTGCCAGGGATGGGGCAGCCACAGCTTCCCTGGGCAACCTGGGCCAGGCTCTCACCACTGGAACTTGGTGCTCAGGATCTGTCACTGCCCTTCAAGCCCAGTGCCAATGCTGGCTGTTCTGGGGTGTGAAACAGCACCCAGAAATGTTCCCAGAGGCTGTAACATCTCTACTGTTGTTTCCTGGATGTGGTTTGAGGACAAACACTCTGCAGAAGTTTGCATCCATCTGCCCAGTCCTGGAGATGTGTAAGAGCATGGAGTGAAGTGACTGCCTTTAGTCCTGGGCCCACTCTTGGTTGACCCACCTTCCTGGCTGTCACCCCAGCATCTTCACAGGGGGTGATCAGTGCTGTGCTGTGGTTCAGTCAGTTCTCTGGGTCTTTTCACTGTACTTCCTGCCCCCTCTGCTCCCCCTTCTGTCTGTCCTCACTGTCACACCTGCCCCCAGGACTCTCTGGGATTACAATTCAGTGAGCAGAGGAGCAAAGAGGAACCTGATGGCTCTCCATGTCCCTCATCGGGGGGGGTCTTGCTGAAAGCACTTGGCCAGGGATGCTCCAAGTCCATCCCAGCTCCTTTCTGTCCTTCTGCAGCAGGAGGCAGAGGGGACAGGATTTCCTTCTTGAAAGAACCTGTCCTGACCTCTTCCTTACCACAGGGAATTCCCACTACTCTACTTCTGGTGCCACTGTGATGCTCCCATCCAGCATTGATTCCATCCCCTCCTCCAAGAACTCCTCTCTGAACACCCTGGGTTCCCCATTCTCTGTGGAGCCCTGCAGTGGTACCATCCCTGCTGGCCAGGAGCAGCAATTCCAGATGAAGTTCTGTCCAGTGCACGTGAAGGACTTTGAGAGCCACATGCTCTGCAGGTAGGAAACATCCAGGGCCACTCACTTGTTGAGGGATTGTTGGGGTGATACCTCTGGCTGGGGGGGTGGGAGGGCAGACCTGGGGACAGCAGCACCCGTGGAGGAACAACCAATGTGCAGGATGATCATCCAGCCTTGGCAGAAGCAGGAGACACTGGGAAAAGACATTGTGTGAAATACTAAGCTCCTGGAGGGTGGTAAAACCTGGAATGAGAGAGCCAGAAAGGCTGCTGAGGGACCAGCCAGACCCTTGTTCTGCTTCCTTATCAGACAAGCATGGTCTCCTTATCTACACAGGAACCTGGGGGCTGTGGTTGGTCTCTGGACATGTTGATGTTCCTGCCTCCATGGCAGGGAGTGCAGTTCTGCTTGGTTTCCTGCTCAGTGCTTGCCTGGAGAGAGGACACAACCCTTGTGCTCTCCAAGGAGACAAGCAGTTGGCTGGCTGGAGAAGTTCAGCTGGCTGATACTACTAGTCCCTCCCTTCCCAGTATTCCCAACCTGGAGCCAGATCAGAAGGGCCCAGAGGTGGCTGTGAAGGGGACAAGCCTGATGCCACGTTACCACTTTGAGCTGGAAGACTCTGACTACATCACTGCAAGAAGGCACAGCTCAGGTGTGCAGGGACCAAAGGGGACAACGTTCGACCTCAACACGAGGGTGGTTGAGTTTGCAGCAACTGGAGTGGGTGGCAGGAACTGCAGGTAGGTGTGAGCTTAGCTTCTCCTGTTGATGGTCTCCTGGTCACCTCTGTCAATCAGGGACCTCTCCAGCTCCATTTCCAAGCCCCAGGGCACACCTCTGTCTGCTGACACTTGGCCACCAGCCTGTTTTGAGCTGGTCACTGAAGACCAACTGGCCAATTTTTCATTCTTCTCCCTTTCCTCAGTAAGGTGTGGGTCAGTCTGGGAGGCCCACGTGCCCCCAGCCCATGCTTTGTGGCCAGTACAACCTTTGTCCCTTGGAAGAGCATCCTTGGGATGTCCTCCTTTGAGACACCAGTCACACAGGGTTGGTGAAGGCTGCAGCCACAGCAGAGTGTGTCCTCTTCCAAAGGAGTCTTGCTGGGCTTGATTTTACCACTTTAGTGGGCAGGAGTTGGGCTACATCCTTGCTCCTTTGTTGGTAGCCATTCATCTGTAGCCACCAAGGCCCTTAGGAAGCAGGTGACATGTTTGTGCTCCCAACATTGTTCCCCTACACCAAATAACTCCTTCCAGATGGTGTCCAGGACTGGCAGTGCCTGCTGTCTGCTACAGGACAGTCATGACCATCCCAACACCACCTCAGTGGTCCTCTTTGCTTTGTGTGCTCAGGACCTTCCTGGTTATGAACCCAACTGGCTCCATGTATTCCTTCCGGTGGACTTGCCAAGATCCTGAAGCCCCACCAGGCCAGGTGGCTTTCTTCTGCCTCACAGAGAGAGGTCAGCTCCAACCAGGGAAGAAAGCAGAGGTGGGTGCAGAAAATGAAGAAGGGTAGATCCAGTAGACAGGTGTGGCAGTTTGACCCCAGCTATGGCTGCACTTCCTGAGTGTCCCACCTCACTGGGAGCTTGCCAAGCCCACAAGGAACCCTGTGAACTGGCAGGTGAAGCTGCTTGCACCCTGTAGCCCACATCTGCCATGCTTTGGGGCTGCCAGCAGCCCAGCTCTGAGCTCCCAGCAGCAGAAGGTGGAGGTTCCTGGGCTTTCTTGGTGCTCTAGACTGCTCCCCACCAACCCCCTTTCCCTGCCAAGAGCAGCAACTACCCTTTCTTTCTCTCTCTCTCTTTCTCCCCCAGTTGAAGTTTGAATTCATCCCTCGGCACCTGGACATCACAGAATCCTTCTGGGTCTTTAGAATCCCTGAGCAGAGCATTTCAGTCCCCTTCCTCTTGGTGGGCACTGCCACTGATCCACTCGTGGCTCTGGACAGATGCCACCTGAACTTCCAGCTCCTGCTCATTGGTGAGCACCGTGGTGACACCTTCAACCCTCAGATGGGGACCTTCCAGGGGCCCCTCAGGGTTCAACAAGGGAAATGGAAATGGGCACCTGTGAGCAGATCCTCCAGCTCCCAAGTGTGCCAGGGTAGAAGAAGGGGAAGGGAGGAACAAAGGGTTTGCAGCAGCTGCTTTGTCCTCTCCCCAGGGCACCAGGTACAACAGACTATCTACATGGTCAACAGGGAGAAGGAAGCCTTCAGCTTTGCTTTCAGAGAAAGCTCTCTCTTCTCTGAGGGATGCAGCTCCTCCGTGAAGTTGGAGCCCATGGAAGGTTCCATTGCTCCTACCTCAAGGTAACAGGGCTCCCAAGGCCACGTGCCCTCTCCTGTGTGCCAAACCTTGCACTGTCACTTGGCTTCTGGGGCTTCCTCCCCTCCACAGGCACCAGGTGGCTCCATGTCCTTCCCCATGGGGACACCAGGAAGCTGCAGGTTTCTCCATGAAGTGCCTGTGTTGGGTGTTTCACTGTCTTCTAAGCCCCCTTCCTGGAATAAAAAAATCAGGCTTTTGGATCTTCTAGTTTTGATGAGAAGAGTATTTTGGGGAGAGTTTAGCCCCTTGACTCCCTAAAATGTGCAAGGTCTCCTCTTTTCCCTGGGTTCCTTTAGTGCCAGAGCCCACCACTCATCTGCTGGTCCACCCTGAAGGTCCCAGGTGGGAGGAGGGTGTGTTGGCTCTGGGGCAGCTTTGGTGTGGCTTCAAAGCTGCTGGATTTTGGCTTGTCATGAGAAGAGAGCATCTTGTGGCTCCCCTGGGAAGTGGTAATTCCTTAAATCTCTCTAGTTTGGGTGTGTTTGGTCATGAGCCCAGAAATTAGAGGTCGTGGAAGCCCCATCTCTGGCAGTGTTGAAGGGCAGGTTGGATGGGGCTTGGAGCAACCTGGGCTGGTGGGAGGTGTCCCTGCCCATGCAGGGGGTTGGATCTAGATGATCTTGAAGGTCCCTTCCAACCCAAAATATTCCATGATTATCCATAAAAATCAGAAGGAGGTAGTTTGGTGGCACCCGTGTTGTGCTGCTGTCATATGGGACATGTGGGAGCTGGAGGATTCTCCTTGGCAAAGAGGGTCTCACCCCTGTCATATGGAACAGAGAGGTCTCTGTGGAGATCACAGATTGGGGTCATATGGATCAGAGAGGTCTCTGAGTGGCCTCCTCAGTGTCTGGGACAGAAGTGGGGTCACCACTCAACTCTACCCCATGTAACACAGGGCCAGGGCAGTAAGGTCAGTGCTACTCAGGGCTTGCTGCCTTGTTGTGTCCTCTGCCATGTCACTGTGTGGGGTCATCACACCCTGAACAGGTCTCACCAGGGTTTGCTCCACAGTGGAGAGCCCCTGGAAAAGCATTGAGACAGGGAATGGAGCAAAAAGGGGTCTTCTCTCTCCAGGCTTCCCATTACAGTCATCTTAACACCAACAGTGGAAGGAGAGGTGGTCTTCAACATCAAGTGTGATGTCAAGAGGAAGCCCCAGCCCCTCTCCTTGAACATCAAGGCCACCAGCTACAGTCTGAACATGTCTGTCAGGTGTGAGGACAGGAATGGTCATGTCACTGAGCTCAGTGCACAGGAGACCAACCTCATTGATTTTAAGGAGGTGAGCAGCACTGGTTCCCCAAACCATTTGCCCCACAAAGCAAGGTTGGGTCTTGACCAGGAGCTTAGCAGGTACCTTTGAGCAAGAAGGAACCTTTCTCTTCATGGAGGAGCCTGATCCTTCAGACAGGTCATTAGCTGAAGGTGAAACATGTGGGAGCATGTTAGGGAAGAGCACTTCCTCTGGCCAGCACCTTGTGTGTGCTCCAAGCCCTCTCCACCAACCTTCTCCCCTCAGGTGCAGCTAAATGACATCAGCAAGCACATCTTCAGGATCTCCAACAACAGCAAGATCAGCTTCACCTTCTTCTGGGAGCTGAGGGGCCCCCCAGCCCGTAGGCAGGTCCTGGCTGTCACCCCCCAAACGGGCACCGTGCAGGCAGAGGGGGAGGTGGAGACCCAGCTGGCTTTCCAACCCCACAGGATGTGTTCTCTGAAGGGTGTGGAGCTGAGGCTGAAGGTGAGGCACCAGCAGGTGATAAGGGACCTTCACCTGCCCTGTGCAGCAGGTGGTGAGCACCTCCACTTAGAGCCTGAGCCAGGCAAAGAGGTCCCACCTACTGCAACCATCAGCCTGACCAGCTTCTGGATGGAATGTTTCCTGTGGGATCCCTGGGGGAAGCACTCCTGTGGCAGGACAGAGTCCCCATGCCCTCTCTGCCCCTAATTTTTGGGGGGCAGCCCTAGATGTGCACAGGGATGAAATATTTTCTCCTTGCCAGACCCCTCCTGAGGTGGGTCCCACAGCTCTGGAAGGTCTGGCTGCACAAAGCAGAGATGGGACTCCAAAAACCTTCCCCCCTCAGACCCAAACCTTCCACCTTGTTTCCATTCTGAGGACCTTGGGCACCTGCTGTTCCTCCTTGTCACTGCCAGCTGTCCCCATCCTCTCCCTCAGCTGGCTCTGCTGGTTGTTGGTTGTCATTCCAATCTTGGCAGTGGTTCACTCTTGGCTTTCACCCCACCAGATCAGCAGGGGTCCCACCTTCACCTGCGTGTTCCAGGCCAACGTGGTGCTGCCCACTGTCCACTTCTCCACCACCAAACTCAACTTTGGAGCCTGCTTCATCCACACTGCTGGGATGCCACCTGCCCAGCAGACCCTTGTCATCACAAACAAGGCAGAAGGGTATCTGAGGTAGGTCTTCTCCAGGAGCTCCTTCCACCCTTGCTGAGCACATTCCAGTCCTTGTGAGCCCTGCAGGTGAAATCCTGGAGGTGCAGGGAGAGGGAGACAGGAGAGCCCCAAGATGTTGGCTGAGCACACACAGCCTGGTGACACCTCTGCTTCTCTTTGCTGTGCTTTCTGCCAGCCTGAACTGCCTGTTCACCAACACCACCTACCTGAAGGTGAACTTCTCAGGGTGTGTCCTGTGCCCAGGAGAGTCCATGGAGGTGCCCATCACTTTCTCCCCCAGAGAGCTCACCTCTTACCGTGAGCTCATCCCTTTTGAGATCAATGGGCTTTGTGAGCAGACCGTGGAGGTCCGAGGGAAGGGCACAGCCATGAAGGTGAGATGAAACCCAAACCCTAAAGCTCCAGGTGGCAGGAAGCCAGCTTGGCTTCCTTCCTCCTCTTCCTCACCTCTCCCATGCTTTGATTTCCTGCAAAACCTCTTCTCCTTCTTTTTTTTTTTCCTTTGATTTGATCCCTCCTGCCTCAGGTGGAGGTTGTGGAGCCCCCAGGCAAGGTGGTGAAGCTGGGAGCTGTCTCTGTTGGCCAGACTGTGAAGAAGATGGTCACCATAGCAAACAACAGTGCTGCCCCCCTCACTTTTAAGCTCAGTCTCATGAGCACTGTGCCAGAGCTGCAGGAAGCTGGGGTAAGGACCCTTCCTTCACTGGAGAGCACTTTGGTGCAAGGAGAGGACTCACAGAATCACAGAATGGAGATCTGGAGATCATCTAGTCCAACCCCCCTGCCAGAGCAGGATCCCCTAGAGCAGATCCCACAGGAACACATCCAGGTGGGGTTGGAATGTCTCCAGGGATGGAGACTCCACCACCTCCCTGGGCAGCCTGTCCCAGGGCTCTGTCACTCTCAGAGCATAGAAGTATTTTCTCATATTCAGGTTCATCCTCCTGTGCTCCAGTGTGTGCCCATTGCCCCTTGTCCTGTCACTGGACACCCCTGAGAAGAGTCTGGCCCATCCTCCTGCCACCCCCTGCAGATATTGACCAGCACTGATCAGATCCCCCCTCAGGCTCCTCCTCTCCAGCTGAGCAGCCCCAGCTCTCCCAGCCTTTCCTCACAGGGCCAACACTCCAGTCCCTTCATCCTCCTCCTGAGCCCTCTCCTCTTGCCTCCAGCAGTGCAGGACTCCCAGCTGGGTTGCTAGGTGAAGTGATCTCCTCTCCTTCCTTTGGGCAGGTTCTCTGCTTGAACCCCAGCAGCGGCCTGAGTCTGAAGCCCAAGGGAGACACCTGTAAGGTGGAGGTGACCTTCTCCCCCAGGTGCCGCATCCAGCCCTTCTCTGAGGAGGTGACCCTGGAGCACAGTGGGCTGGTGCACTCCCTCTTCGTGGTGCAGGGCTCCTGCCCAGCCATCCACCTCAGCCTGGACCACGAGCACCTCAGCTTTGGAACTGTGGGTCAGCAGAGCGCCACGTGCCAGCACAACCTGGGCGACGTAGGAGCCAAGTAATGTGAAACTGTCCTCTGGGAGAGCTTGGAGGGGGGTTGGGAGGAGCTGGAGCTTGCTCAGGTGGTTCCCCTCGGGTTTTTCATCCAAGAATAGAATGGTGAAGGTTGGAAGGCACCTCAAAGATCATCTAGGTCATCTGGTGGGACATCTCCCACCAGCTCAGGTTGCTCCAAGCCCCATCCAACCTGCCCTTCAACACTGCCAGGGATGGGGCAGCCACAGCTTCCCTGGGCAACCTGGCCCAGGCTCTCACCACCCTCGCAGCAAAGAATTTCCACCTCATGTCCAACCTCAGTCTCCCCTCCTCCAGTTTTAATCCCTTCCCCCTTGTCCTCTCCCTCCCTGCCCTTGTCCCAAGTCCCTCCCCAGCTTTCCTGGAGCCCCTTCAGGCCCTGGAAGCTGCTCTAAGGTCTCCCTGGAGCCTTCTCCTCTCCAGGCTGAACACCCCAACTCTCCCAGCCTGGCTCCAGAGCAGAGCTGCTCCAGCCCTCCCATCATCTCTGTGGCCTCCTCTGGGCTTTCTCCAACAACCCCATGTCTTCCCTGTGCTGAGGGCTCCAGAGCTGTGCACAGTCCTTCCCCCTGGAGACCTGTGCAGTCAGGTCCTGGAAGTTAGGGAGGGTTAAACCCAAAGGCTTGTTGACAGATGGGTGAATCCTGCCGAACCTGCAGCCACGTTGCCAGGTGCCTCAGCATCATGCCCAAGATCTGGTGGACAAGCTCACAAGAGGGTTAGAAGGAGCACCCTGCATTCACAGCCTCCCAGTTGCTAATCCTTCCTTCCTGTCCTTGTGCTTTGGCAAGGTTCAAGTGGGACGTCGAGAGCTTCAAGCCAGATTTCTCCATCAGCCCCACCAAGGGTTACATCTCCTCAGGAACGGATGTCTCCTTCGTGGTGACCTTCCACCCCACCAAGCTGAGCCCTGCTATCCATTACCAGGGCCTGCAGTGCTTCATCCAGGGCAGTGAGCCTCTCAGGCTGTCCCTGGTGGGAAGCTGCATGGAGGCCCCTGTCACCAAGGAGGTAATGACAGGAGGGGACCTCTCCTTTACCCCACCACATCTCTCCCATGGGTGTCACTCCGTGATGGAGGACATGGATGTCACCCCTGCCTGGGTATCCCTGAGAGCTGAGAAAACCACTGGGAAGGATTCACAAAATTCCTGAGCTCTGTCAATTGCTTTCATCCCCTGTCCAAGATGCTGCTCCTCCAGAGAGCTCCTCAGCTGTCCTTGCCACCAGGACACCCTGCAGGGCTTCTCCAAGACCCTCCCCACAGAGGCACCCAGCACTGCACCCCCAGCCAGGCTTTTCCTCCCTGTCAGGGCAAGAGGGGAACAGTAGGAGTGGGCAAAGCATCTGCATCCACCTCCTGGAGCACAGGGATGCAGTGTGGAGGGTTCCTGGCCCTCATGGGCATCACATGAGGGTGCAGATGGAGGGTGTTGGCTCTTGGTCCCAAAAGAGAGCCCAGAGCTGCTCTTATCCCCACAGGGAATTGTGGGACTGCAAGTCTTGTCCTTGCATGGGAGAGAGATCCTGCCATGACTTCCTGTGTTCTCCCCTCCTTGGGAGGTGGCAGAAGACTTCTCCTCCTTGGGAGAAAGCAAAAGACTCTCCCTTCTCTGAGACCCAACAACTTGATTTCCACCAAAAGCTACATTTGGCACAGGAGGAGGACAAGCTCCTCCTCAGAGTGGGAAGGACTCCTCAGTGTGGCCAAGCAGCCTCTGCTCCTCTGTTGCAGGTCCTGACTTTCACGTGTGATGTGCGTGAGGAGCTCAGCCAGGTCATCCTCCTCTCCAACTCCAGCAGTGAGGCCTGGACCATGCAGCCTGTCATCGAGGGGGAGTACTGGAAGGGGCCTGAATTCTTCCACCTAGAGGCCAACCAACAGAACAAACCCTACAAGCTCACCTACAAACCCCTCACCATGACCACGGAGAAGATGCATCAGGTACGTGGGCTGTACCAGCACGTTGGCCCTCCACGTGTGGCCCTCACAGCTCACCCAGCTTTGGGCAGAGGAGGGTGCTTGAGATGACCTTCAGAGATCCCCTGTGAATTGAAATGATCCTGCCATCCTGTGTTGGAAGCTGGATTTCTTGGTGGCTGGAGGCCCAGGTGTAAGGGAAGCTCAGGTGGGAAGTCTGGACTGACCTCTGAAGGTGTTGGAGCAGCTCACCTAAGAAGCCAGGTTGTCTGAAGGCCCAGGAGGTGGAATTTGTTCCGTGCAGCTCCTGGGCCCTGCCTGAGCCCCAGAGGGGCTCTGAGACCCCTGGGGGCTGCAGCAGCCCCCCTGGCCCTGGCCACCACCACTTGTGCCAGTGCTGCCCTGCTGGGGTCTTCTGTAGGGCACAAGAGGGGTGAAGCTGCCCTGCCATTTCTCACTGTCCCCCTGGCCACTGGGAAATGACACCCAGATCTCTCTTGACATCACCTTCAGTTCAGCAGCAGCTTTGGAAGAGCCCTTCCTCCAGGTCCCCTCCATTCCCATGGGCACTATTTCTGGGACACACCAGGGATAAGTCCTTAAACCATGGGGGCAGTTCAGAAGAGAGCTTTGAGGTGCTGGAGGTGGGTGTCACACCTGCCCCTTGTCCCCCTCCAGCTGATCTTACACCACACCAGAATTCAGGCCAGAGCAAGAGAAGAAGCCAGAGTCTTCTGGGCTCCATCTCCAGAGCTTGGAGCAGATCTCTGCCCTATAGGGTTGCATATAGAATCCCAGGTGGAAGCAGAGAGCAGGAAAAGCTCACTCACCTTTCTGCTTGTCTTCTAGGGCTCCATCTTCTTCCCATTGCCAGATGGGACAGGCTTGTCCTACCTCCTGCAAGGCACTGCTCAGACTCCCAAGTGCTCAGGGACCATTTCTCGGGAGGTCCCATGTAGGACTTCCCACACTGAGTTCATCCCTGTCTCCAACTGGTTGAACAGAGCACAGAGGTGAGTCTGACCCGAGAAGTCTCATCCCTTCAGCAGTACCAAGAAGGGTTTCCCACTGCCTGGAAGCTCCTTCCCACAAGCTTGTCACTCTCCTTGGCCATAAGTGTCTGGGATGACGTGTTCTCCTGGTGCAGAACCCATCCTGGAGGGCTTTCCTCCAAGGTGGAGAAGAGCTGGCTCCTCTGTCCAAGGAGGACAGGGGCTGTGTTGTACTCCCCCACCATGGTTATCCTATGGGAATCTTTCCTGTTGACCTTCACTGCATCCTTCTCACCCCCAGGTTCCTCGTGATAGTGGATGTAATCAAACCAGAGGACCAAGGAGAAGGCCCTTTGCTGCAGGGGCAGGAGCACATGGAGGTGCCAGGCTCTGCCAAGAAGGACTACAAGCTCACGTTCCTCTCCTACAAGGAAGGAACCTTTCAAGCATCAGTAAGTGTGGACACCAGGTCATGAGACCTTCAAGGAGCTGGTGGCTTACTGAGAAGCTTCGTGGTGTTTCCATACTGGTGGCACTTTGGGTGTCCCAGGTGGGGACACAGCAGCAGCCACCTCTCCATGCACCTCACTCACTTCTCAGTCTCTCTGGGAGGGTCCCTCTGGGGGCTGCTCAGCACAGGTAGGTCAGGACATGGGAGAGCTGGAAGCAGTGGGCAATTGGGAGGCTAGGAAGTGGAGACACCACCCATGCTTTCCTTGGTCTTGCAGTCTTCTTCAGTGGCTGTTCTTGGAAACAGGGTGCCCAGCTGGTGGGCTCTTGGTGCTGACTCAGCACAGCTGGTCCATCGTTAGGTGCAGGACGACCAACACCTCTCTCTTTCTCTCTCCTTCAGGTGACCTTCCTCAACGAGGAGACCCAGGAGTACCTGTTCTACATGATGTCTTTCAAGGTCACAGCCTCAAGACCCATCAGCACCGTTGAAATCACCACGGCCGTTCGGCAGAGAGCGTCTTCCAGCGTCAAGGTGGACAACCCTCTGCCTGTCCCTGTCACCTTCAACATCGACTGCAAAGTGCCTGATGTCAACGCCCCCCCCCATTTCACTGTTCCTCCACAGTCAGAGGTAGGAGCAAAGTTCACCCAGTGTCCTCTCCCTGCAGCCTTTCTGGGGGTGGGTGCTCCTTGAAGGGTGATGCTCGTGGGAATCATCTGCTTCCCGAGCAGCTCCCCAGCTGCTGATCACCTACCTGCTCCTGGTTTTCAGTTTGGAGTGGCTGCAGGACATGCCTCACCCTGCTGGTGTGAGGGTGTTTGCACCTGCTGGTGTGTCCCCGAGGAGTATTTGGGGTGTTTTAGGGGAGGAGAGTGCCAAAGGGCTCTCAGCTGTTTGGGGACAGTCCCCCAGGTGAACTGTCCTGCACTTGCTGTGGGGCTCTGACCCGAGAGAGAAGGAGCTGAAGTGAGGGAGAACATTGGGCTGCCTCCCAGCACCATGTGCACACGCCAGGGACCCATTTCCCCATGTCCTGGGCTGCCTTCCACGTCTCTCTGCCTCACCCAAGGGCTTTCCCCCTTCTTTCCTCTCAGGCTGATCTTGTTTTTGAGTACCAGCCTGTGAAAAAGGGGGAGAGCACCGGGTGCCTGGTGCTCCACAGCACCAACCTGGGCACTTACTCCTACGACCTGCACCTGAAAGCCACGGTGAGCAAGCCAGAGAAACCCCTCCACTTCTGCACCACGCTGGGCTCTAGTCAGACCATCACCACCCAGATCATCAATTACGCCCGGCAGAAGACAGACTACGTCCTCCAGGTGACTCCAGAGGGTCTTGTGGGGAGGCAGCTCAGCCCTTTGGGATCCTGCCCCTCTTCTAGCTTGGCTGGGCATAGCCAGAGTGGCCATCTGAGCCCGGGGGGGGGGTCTTCCCACCAACACTGCATCTGTCTGGGTTGCAGGCCCTATGGTGCCTGGAATTCCATCTCAAACCCCAGCCCTGGCAGGATGGTGTTCCAGGGTTTGGTTGCCCTTTCCTGGCAGGTTTGGACAGTCCCTGTTTTGGCACCTTCCAGGTGTGTGGAGCGGGTGGGACAGGTGCAGTGACAAGGCAAGGGAAAAGGGCCCATTGTGCTGGCAGGAGACTGTGGTTAGTCGGTCAAGGGAGGTTCTCCTGCCCCTCTGTTCTGCCTTGGGGAGGCCACAGCTGGAATGTTGTGCCCAGTTCTGGGCCCCTCAGTTCCAGAAGGACAGGGAACTGCTGGGAAGAGCCCAGGGCAGAGGCACAGAGATGCTGGAGGGAGGGGAACATCTCCCTGCTGAGGAAAGGCTGAGGGAGCTGGGTCTGTTGGGCTTGGAGAAGAGGAGACTGAGGGGCCACCTCATCCATGGGCACAAATCTGTTCAGGGCAGTGTCAGGAGGACAGAGCCAGGCTTTGTGCAGTGATGTCCAGTGACAGGACAAGGGGCAGTGGGTGCAAACTGGAGCCCAGGAGGTTCCATGTGAATCTCAGGAAGAACTTCTTTGCTGTGAGAGTGCCAGAGCCCTGGGCCAGGCTGCCCAGAGAGGCTGTGGAGTCTCCTTCTCTGGAGACATTCCACCCCCCCTGGCCACGTTCCTGTGTGATGTGCTCTGGGTGCCCCTGGGTTGGGCTGGGGGAGCTTTCCAGGTCCCTTCCAACC